CGGTTAAAGTGTAACGATTCAGATACTCCTTTTTGCAAAGTGTTTTCTGTATTCGGTTGCTTATTGTTACATTTCGGTGCCGGCACAAGACTAAGTTAAACAAAAATAACAATAAGAGTTATGCTGTATCGCTACGTTCTTCCTGTTCATAAAGTACCTAATTAATTAATAATAATGCATTTTGGAAATCAGAACCTTTTGGTACTGGTATGTAACAGTACAACTCAAAAGTTTAAAATCTGCTGTACCAACACAATGTTTTGGTTAATAATATCGTTAATTAGTTCTTAAAAAATTTCGAATTTTTATAACTGGTTCAATCCTTTAAATTTGTTTAACTGTTGAAGAAATATATGCATTCCTTATATTTCCTTACATTTAATATACCCCGTTTCAGTAAAGTGTATACCGGATACAGGGTAGCAAAAGTATTTATAAATATAAACCAATTTGTGTTGAAAATGTTATTTATTTGACTGGATGGCTGGCCTGTCAAAGCCAAGGCCCAGCTAGCCCCCACCTCTCCCACTGCTCTACATCTCTCTCGCTCTCTCACTTGCATCTCAATGGGAATTTAACTTTGAGCAGCAAAAGCTGCGGCTTAACTGAAAATCCAATTTGATGTTGTGAGCACGCAAATTAATGGAATTATGTCTGTTCGGAAAAAAAGAATGGATTTAGCATATGAGATGAGAGTTGAGAGAAATATCAGCTTGAAAGTTCTCGCAGCCAATGGGATTTTCCAAACCGATTTTACCGTTGTTGTCATAGCAGCTGCCACGCTTATGGGAATGGGGAAATGAAATATAGTTGTAGAACTTCTTTCATTTTCGCAACAAAGTTTCTCTTCAGTATCTGGGTGGGTGTGTGAGTAACAAGCATGAAACTTTTATCCAAACTAAAAATGAGAAAAAAAAACTTATTTGCAAATAAATTCACCAATGAAATGTGAAACTGGGCTTTAAAGGGCTTCGCTCGTGCGCTCGCTCGCATTGCCGAGGATGAATGGCTCGTTGGATGGATGGAAATGTGATTACTTTCATCAAAATTACATCAATCATAAATGCACTCATTCAGTGCCAGACGTCATGCAAGCAGCCATACATTCTATCAAGTCAGCACATTTCTAGTGTTTCTTCCTCGTGCGTTTTTTTAGGGCCCCATTTTTGTTCAAGCTCTCCAATTTTCTCGTTCTCATTCTCATTGTTGCTGTAGCTTTTACTGTTGTGGTTGTTGGTATTGTTGTTGTTGTGGCATCCTTTCAGCATTTTCTAATTGAAATTGATTTAAAATTATTTATATATTCGTTGGTCCGCAGCAACGCACTTGGGGCGGTATGGTGCTGGAAATGAATGGTATGGGTTGGTGCTGCTGCTGCTGCTGCTGCTAATGGCATACCCCAGCCAAACGAAGCAATGTTTTTTTTTCTAATGCCCTACAGCAAACCAGTTTTGGGGCTTGTCGAATGTATGGGATTTGGATGTGTATATATGAGTTGAATAAATTGTGATTAACATTTAATTACTACTTAACTAAAATTACTACTATTTTGTGTTGTTTTTCTGTTTGATTGCTAGCAACCATTTGTCAAACTATTTCTCACTTGATTCCGTAATTTGTATAGCTGATGATCAGCGAGAAGATGATATAGAATTCTAAAAAAAAAGCACAGGCTTAATAAAGATTTAGATTTAGCAAAGCATTGTAGCGGACTTTATATGATTGCTAAATACTACAAATAATTCTGATTTACATTACCTCAGTTCTGAGATAATTAAAAAATATAATTAGTTTTTTGCGACTCCGAATTGGAATTGTTATTAACTTGAATGGAAATTGCTTCTAAGAGTTTACTGAATGTCGTTATTATTTTGACATATTTGTTTTCCATTTGCCAACATTTTTTTCCGATTTTTTGTAGAGTATAGATTATATTTGCAACGCGAAGGTTCCTTTTCAGCATGAGAAATATCTATTAATTGGAATTACTTGCAAGAATCTATACAATTTTGTTTGGCGCATTATAACCCCTATATATATATTAGAAAGTGTGTGGATATGTGTGCGTGGGAGTGGATGTGAGTGCGCGCGTGTGTGTGTGTGTGTGGGCGGATTGTTGGCCCAAAATAGTTTGCTACCCGCTTCCACAGTTTATGGCATGTCATTGAAAACATGGGGGTAGCAGCTAATTATTTATAAATATGTACATGTATATATATATATATATATATATTCTTCACAATAATTTGGAATTGTATGTCAGTTGATCTGGACTTGAGAAACTTTTTTTTTAAGTGAGCTGCTCCGAACGAACCGAGGCGAGCCGAGCCGACCCGAAACGAACCGTGCCGAGTCGACCAGTTTATTTTTTTTTTTTTGGCGAGCACGCGAGCGAGGAGAACACTGAGTAGCAGCAGCAGCAGCACACCGAATGGCCATGGAACATAAATATTATGATGAATGGCTTTCAAGTGGAACGTCGACACACCCGCCACCGCTCCCTGGTCTAATGCCCTGAGACTCCAGACCGAATCTACTATGTTGGCGGACGTGCTCTCCGCTCTCGTGTGGGCATGTGGCAAGCTTCCCACTTAAGCGTATACATATATCAAACAGGAGACTGGCAGTGCCAGACTACAAAATACCTACTACCCAGATGGAACATGTATATACAACAAGAAAGGAAGTGCTCTGATCTCGCTATCTCCTATGGATGTCGGACAAGCAGACAGGACGATCGATAAGTCTATATCAACTAGGCTTAAAAATATATAACCCAATTTTGATTGAAGATGCACCCAGCTGCTCTGCATTATTTAGCTCTTATATTGGGGATCGAACAGATAGACCGACAGACAAGGCTATATCTCTAGCTCTTATATTTTTTTCGATCGAACAGATAAACAGAAAGACCGCACAGGCTATATCTACTACTTATAACATAAGCTGCTTTAAACTCGTTAATTTCTTATTATTTTTTATTAATTCGGACAAACAGATCGACTGATAAGACTGTATATAATCTCTTATATCTTTTGAACTAGGACAAACAGACAGACAACCCGACAAACTGAGGCTATAAGAACTATGTTTAAGAATATATAACCCTATTTGAGACTGAACAGACAGACCTACAAGGATTTATCAGCTCAACTTTTGGTGCTCTTCAAAAGCATACATATATGTGCCCAATGTTCCCGAACATGCTCCCATCAGCATGTTATATACATTTATTTACTAATTGATGATAACCCCTTTCTTCATCTGTTTTGTAATATGTACAGGGTATATAAAAAACAAAATGGTTGTTGGTTGCCACATGATGATTTATGGAGCAATTCGAAAGTTGAGCGAAAAGAGATGCGTTGGAGAAAACTACGGCACACTTTCTCTCCATTTACATTGTAGTCAACGTCAGTGCTGTAAGCCCCAAGATGGATCGTTGTCATCGTCGGATCGTAGCTCACACACACACACACACACATACAGACACACTGACAAACATGCTTTGGATCCCCAGCTGTTCCAATTGCAATGTCGAACCACCAAATTTTTGCACAAACTGTAACAAAGCTCGCAGCTCTCTGAGTCTGTTGTGGCGCATTCATCAATGTCCATGGCGTTTCCGTTAGCACACACACACGCACACGCATATAAAAACACACAGACATAGGCACATATACATATACAGTGGCTTGGCAGTTGCATGTAAAAGGCTCGCATACCAATGCAGTAATCTTTATCGAGCAAGAGCATAATCAATCAATCGGATTTATGTGCTCCAACTCAAGATAAAACTAATCAATCTTGGGCCCTGCGACACTCAGAGACGACCAAACAGCAGCCACTCTCCCTATCTTTCCCCCTTGCCCCTTTTTTTCTTCCCCTACTTGCAGTAGGAGGCAGCGATATTTATTTGTTTACCGAGCTAAGCTCTTTTTTCTCCATTACTTTTTTTTCCATTGCGAAATTTATGCGCTCTTGTCTCGCTGAAAACTTGCTGCGATTAATTATAAAATGAGAAATTGCCATTTGGAATCGGATATTTAAACATATCCTTCAGCTAAACGTAATGTTAAAACAAGAAATCTCTGACATTTTCTCTGCTGGCGACCCATACACAAGCCATGAATTGGAAAGTTGTCGTACCAGAAAGTTAATGTAATCAATTACAAAAAGAGAAAATTCCAACAGATATTAAAATTCATCACTAGAAATTGTAATATGAGACTTCTGCTAAATACAAATTAGCATGTAAATCCTAGGGTTTTATTCATAGCTATAATCATAATTATTGAAGGTTGTATTTTATTTTTTTTTACGACATTAGTAATGCCCATAATCTTATAATGGAAAGTCAACCAAATAAACGTGTTGGAGCATTTCCTCATTCGACAACAGTTGACGGCTCGACGAGCTCATCAGACTACTGCAGCTTATCGCAATTGTTGCTTTCAATTGAGATTAGATTAGATAACGAACTTAGTTACAGACGATCAATCATTGATATTCCAGCAGGGAAAGTGTTGGTCCCATAAATTATATTCACTTAAATAAGCAATACAGGAAAATATAATTAAAATAGGCACTTGTTTGTTTTTTTTATGGTATATTATCCTCAATATGGCAGCCAATGTTTAAAGTCCACTTGAAGATAAACCACTCGATTAACAACTACTCGAGTGCACGAGTATTAGACGTTTATATAGCTATCGATAAGAGCTTCAAAAATTTGTTTGTGAATCTTGTTTGATTAGCTTTTGAGGTTATTATACCCACCGAATCCATTAAAAATGATTATGATTAAGTTGTGTAAAAAGTATGTAATAGGCAGAAGCAAGCATGAAGTGTATATATTCCTGGTCAGCTCAAGTTTTGAGTATAATTTCTCGTATAGCATGTGTGCTTATTTGAATTCATCGAACATCCATCCCTTGAATATCGATATAAATCGATTATACTAATTTGATACAAATTTGTCCTTTCTTTACTATTTACAGTCGGAATCAAATTCATCGGCATCCGCCAAATTTACGCTGTTCAAGTGCGTCTATTGCGCCCAGCTGCTGGGTCTCAATGATCGACCCAAGCTGTTGGAATGCCTCCATGTGGCATGCGGACAGTGTGTGAACACAAAGTTCTCCGAACTGGATCGTTCGTTGCCGCCACTGATCCACTGTCCAGTGTGCGATAATGCCTCACAGAAGGGTTACATCATCGAGAATCAATTCTTGATTGAGCAATGCGCCGCTGGAGATGCTGGCGATGGCAATGGTGCCGGCGATGGTTCGAAGAGTTCACAAGCTGCCAATATTCAGTGCAGCAGTTGCTCGGATGGTGCTGTTGCCACATCCTGGTGTGTGGACTGCTCCGAATATATATGCGATAGTTGTGTGCAAGCGCATCAACGTCTCAAGATCACCAAGGATCACACGATCAAGCCAAAGGATGAGGCCAATAATGAACAACTCGCCGGCACTGTCGGCGTGGATAAGCTGCACATGTGCCAGCTGCACACACAGGAGAAGCTATCGCTCTTCTGTGAGACGTGCGACAAGTTGACCTGTCGCGATTGCCAGCTGAGCGATCATCGCGATCATAAATACAAATTCGCCCATGAAATTGCCACTGAATCGCGACAAGCTCTCTCCACACTCGTCTCGGAGATCAACTACAAACGCTTTTTGCTGTCATCGGCCACCAAGGTGATCGATGATCGACAGCAGCTAATACATGACAAGAAGAAGGACCTGATCAAGGAGATTACAGCCATGGTGGTGAAGATCACCAATACGGTTAATATGCGTGGCAAACAGTTGGTGATGCGTCTCAACGAGGTCTGCGACAGCAAACTGAAAGTCCTGGTCGAGAAGAAGGAAACGTTGCAGTTGCTCTCGGATAATACAGATCATTGCATTGAATTCATGCAGAATGCTCTCGAAAAGGGCAGTGATTTTGCCATTTTATCCAGCAAAAAATCACTGGTGCGTCATTTGCAGAAACTCAAATGTCAACGGGCTGATATACCCAATCCCGAGATTCCGGTTAGGATTCAGGTGCAGCTCAATCAGGTCACCGAACTACAGAAGGTCATCTCACAGCTGGGCATTGTAATTGTCGATGGCAAACCATATCCACCGGCACCCGCGCCCTCACCCAATGGCCCACAACCACCGCCGCCACGTCAGCCACCGAGTCCGAATATGGCGCCACCGTTGCGTCCCGTCCTGCCGCCAGGCATGCCGGCAGGTCTCTCCCCAAACGGACCGCCAGGCGGCTTTGGCGTACAGAATGGTCCGCCCCTGTATAGCAATGCCGCCGCACAACAGCAATTCAGCAATCTGTCCATGAGTCGTTCCTTTCCAGGCGATGGGTCAGGTAAGGGTATGCTACAATTTAGATACTTTTTTTTATATATATATAAGTTCTCAGCATATTGTATACACTCTGCGAAATTCAATCAAGGGCACAGGCTTTTTTTCTTAAATTGAAAATAGAATTTTTGAAATGTTCTTTTGTTTTACATTAAATATAAGTTGAATAAAAAACGGATAGAATGTAGAAATGTTAACAAGGCAATGCAAGATTAATAGTCTTTCAATCCACTATATTTGATTTGTACCTAAAATATCGATTTGATATTGGATCAAATTCTTTTTGGAACCCAAATGGAGAGCATTCCACTAACTACATTCTTGCATACTAGCATATCAATTTTAAACCAGCCCAAACTGGACGAGAAAGGTTTTCTCACATATTCCCTAAATGAATAATATAGAAAAAAGTGACAGCTAGAATTGTGACTTATTTTCAAATCTAATTTATTATCTTCAAAATTATATTTAACATTTTATAAGGATAAATATCATCTGCCTTTATTTTGTATTTTGCAGAGTGTATATTATTATTTTTCCCTAAGTGTAGTTTTTTTTTTAGGGTCAGTGCAGTTTTCAAACCATTTTTCAGACCGGGGGTTGACCTTTCACGTGAATTCTTAATCCTTAACCTAAAGTCTATAAAAATCAATGAAGTCAATGAATAATTTTTATCATATAGTGTCTTAAGCTTTAGGACAAAGTTGGCCACTCATTCATTAATAAGCAATAACTACAAAAACGTTGTCAATCAGTTATTCAGACAGTTAATCAATCAGTCAGCACACACAGTTTTAATTATTTTATTTGTATTTAAGCAACTATAAAAAATTATTCAGTGCATCGTTTTGCGAGAAAAAAAGAAACTTTACAAATATTATATTTATATCAATTTGTGCTTACAGTTCGATTTGGTGGCATGCCGCCGGTGGGCATGCAGCGTCAGGGTCAGCCACATGTCAGCTCCTCCACACATCCGCAGAATATGGGTACGTTAAACAAATGAACAATTAACCCCCAAAACGTAAATAGTAAACATAACTTTCCCTATTGTATTTATTCCTCTCTTTTTAGACATCAGTTTGCGTGGTCTTTTGAATAATCAGGCGGCGCAGAGCCCAAATGCTCATATGGCCTTCAATGGGCCGCCCAGTTATCCCGGTGGACCACAGGGTGCACCATCACCGGCCCATCAACAGCAAATGCCACAGATGCGTCCGCATTTTATGCCAGGCCAGCAGAATTTCGGGCAGGGTGGCGGACCCGGCGGCGGCGGCGTCAGAGATACCAACAGCTTCATGAACAGCAGTGCGCGCTTCCAGTCGCAATATCAGCGCATGGCGAGCCATGTCCAACAGCAGGCGGCAGCAGCAGCTGCGATGGCTGGTGCGGGTGGCGGAGGCGGGGGACAGATACCCTCGCCCGGTTCACTGCAACGGCCCCCAATGATGCCCAATCCCATGCAGAATGTAAGCGAATAAGCCAGCGTGAACTATTTTTTATCAATCAGACGTGTTTCCAATTTAGAATTCAAATTGCTTGCTGACACATTAAAAGTCTGTAAATTTATAAGTCTATTAAATGATTAAAATTTTGTTATGCCCTGCACCCATTAAAAAATGAAGAAAGGGTATAATATGTTGTCGAAGAAAGCATTTTCGAATACATAAATATCATTAATCTTTTCATGTCATCAAGTTTATTTCCTTTTAAAAATTTCCGGCAGCTATAATAATGATCAATTGTATAAGTTTCTTTAAGATCTGATAAAAATCTGTTAGGGTATCTGTTAGTCGAGCTGTCTCGACTAAAGCATTCGAAATAATAGGTTTCGACAATTTTCGTACCGGTTTTATATTTTTTCCTCAATTTGAATAATATTACAATATTAGTAAGCCTTAGTTGTTTACGTATTTTCCAATTGTTAAATTTTATAATTAGTCGACTCGAGCTGAAGTTGTGAAAAACCCAAGGTCCAGAAAAGTGTGTGTCTTTGTTTTGTTATTATTTGGTTTCTCGATATACAAGAGTGCATAATTATATTTTGGAACAGCCTGTATCAAACCCAATTATAAATGAATTAATGTGAGAATAATTGTAAATTCCTTTTTAGGCGTTGGGGTTTCATGGGAGCCAGGCTGGCTTTAACGCTGGTCCGCCGCAAACGTCGCCGCAGCTGAGCAGCGCCATGCACAGCCTGGCGAAGTGGCATATACCACAATCCGCGCAGCAATCAAACAGTGAGTTTTCTGTTGCGGCAGCAGCAGTTGAAGTTTACACACAGTTTGATTAACATTTCAATTTGTTTTATAGTTTGCCAACAGCAAGGGCCACTTTTGCCCTTCGCCAATGGACGTCAGACATCGGAAAATTTTAAAATCTCATTGAAATCGCCAAATACTCTGAAGAATAGCACACCGCCCAGCAGCGTTAGTGTTGGTGGCCCGCCCAGTTTGCCAGCCTTGGGCAATGGGACAACATCGGCCAACAATTTGGCGCAATTGAATGCTGCCGCCCTGGGCCTGGGGCCCGCTGTATCCATACTCTCCAATGTCACATCGACAAATCCAAAGACACCCAGTCCCAGCACACATGAGGTAAGATATCTTAACCGCAATATTATTGTCCGTTTGCTGACCATATTGCTTGTGTTATTTTGGGAATAGAATACCAAGGATTTTACAGAGCCCATTGATAAGGTGCGTGATGATTCCATCAATGATCTGATTGCCACCATCGCAAAATTGGACTCGAATGGTGTGCAGGTGCTGCCAGAGGGACGTACCAAGACCACCTCGCCGCAGGTGCACAGCTCAACGGATCTGTCCAATACTCAAGAAGGTAGGCGTTACAATCACATTTCAAGCTATTCACGCTTTGGTCTCGGCTACATTTATTATGGGTGTTGGGGTGTGTGCGTTTTTTGTGTGCTGTTGTAGTTGCTGTAGTTGATCTTTTAAGTTTGTTTTCCATAGTAATTGAGGAATTCTTAAATAAAAACTATATGAATCTACAAAACTATATGAACAATGTAAATTTAAATATAAGTGGCAAACATTATGTCTGATTCTTTTATTTCTAAACAAACCATTTCAACGATGCTAATATACAGAATATGCATCATTAACAAAACAGTCAATTTATGTTTACATATATAAATATTAAAATCGAAATATTTGAGAGGAGCAACAGCTTGTTGTGATGTAGTTTATTTAATATATCCTCTATGCATTTTATTATAACATAGTCTTATGTTTTAACATTACTTTTGCTGCTGGTTGATATCGATATTCAATTCTCATATAACTTTGCTTTGTTTATTTCTATTTTCAAAACTGCAAACTCGTTTCTCAAAAAAAAAAAACCCCAAAAAAATAAAAATAAAAAAACAATCTAAACGCGAAATAAACAAAAACAAATAAATTACTAACCAAACAAACAAAAAACATGATATACAAACAAATCAAATAAAAACAACAACAATACATAAAAAAATACACATACACACACTCATACACCCATACGCAATCCCACACACACACACACACACAACCACATATGTAAAATGCCAAACCAAAAAACTAATCATATCAGTTAATAATAAAAACGAACAAAAAGACGACCCCAATGAGGATTGGTGTGCCGTGTGTCTGGATGGCGGCGAATTGATGTGCTGCGATAAATGCCCCAAAGTATTCCATCAGAATTGTCATATACCCGCGATTAGTTCGCTGCCGGACGAAAGCGAATCCTGGCAATGTCTGCTCTGTGTCAATCTCAAGGAGCTAACCAAAGCCGAATCCAACGAAAAACCGCATCCCAACGAGCTGAGCAGCGTCGAGCTGCGAATACTGCAACGTATCTGTCTGGAGCTGTACTGTCAGTACGAGCAGAGTCTCAACTTTCGCGAACCGGAATCGCCGGCTAACTCACAATACTATGAGATTATTTGCAAGTAAGTAGCACAACCAGCCAATAAATATTTATAATTTTCTGATTAAATTTAAATGTTTTTTCCTTAGCCCCATGTCATTGGATGTTATACGCACGCGGCTGGATCCCTCCAGTCCCAATCATTACAAGGATATAGCCGGTTTTGTTTTCGATGTGCGTCTAATCTTCAAGAATACGTATCTCTTCTATCAGGTGAGTGAATCGAGTATTAATTTGAGTGTTGTCAACCAGTCAATACATTTTGTGTTGCACTTGCTTTCACACAGGAGGATTCGAAAACGTTCAGCAATGCCAAGTATTTGGAGAACTTCTTCGAAGAGCAGCTGGCCAAATGGTTGCCGAACTTTGGCAGCAAGATCGGTGCAAACGGTGCATCCACCTCAAATTCACCAAGTTTGCTAGCTGCAGCGGCTGGGTCGCCTGCACCAATTGAGAACGGTCGCAAGAGCTGCAGTTCCGCGTCGTTGGCGGACAGTGAGGATGCTTGCTTGCCGGCCAAACGGTCGCGTCGCTCGGCGCACGAATAGAACGAACTTTCGCCCGACGAGAAGGGCACGGATGAGCAGCCGCCGGTGGTAGAGGATAATCAAAAGCAACAACAGCATCAGCCGCCAATTGAGGATGAGAAGCAGCAGAGGCAAGAGTCGCACTTTGATGATTTGGAGCTGGAGTTGCCACAGCGACCGCGTAGTTTGGGTAGCAATACGATACAGGAGAGTGCCGACTACGTGCTCCAGCTTCTGCATGCATATGCCGCTGCATTTGGGCTCTAATTCGATTCAGGAGGAACATATCCGTACTCACAAACACACACAGAGACACACGCTCACAAACTACCAAGACCAGCATTGTTGTTGTATATTATATATTGGCGCTATTACAACAAATAATATATATACATATATATTAAAGAATTTAGAAAAAAAACAAGCTGGTGGCTGGTGTACATTTAGTTATTAACCCACACACACACACACACACAGACAAAAACATACTGTAAATACACACAAGTCATTTGATATGATTTATTTTCGATTATAATAATGCATGAATAAACTCGATGGTCACGTGAAGAATATCTTTTAGGCTACAGTCTTAAGTGTTGAATATACATATGTAAACAGATATACCAAGTAGAGACTAAATCTAAGTTTAGTGACAAACTGTACTCCAAATTATGGCATGAAGAGTGTTTTACCCAAACTCTCTCCTTTAACCCTATATCTGTTGGAGTTGTATTTACTTTTGTGATAGCGATAAACAATAAAAAAAAAGAAAAAATGAACAAATTATATTCTAATATGTATATTAATTACATACCCAACTCATTTCGACATTTCTTTTCTCTTGTTACGTTCGAATGCTATGTACGATATTTATTGCCCATAACATATATCTATATATATATATGCTTTTTTTTTCTTTTCACCCATTCGCTCATTTAAACCGCAAACATTCGTATACTATTTAAGAAGACACTCGTAATAAGTTGCAATTAGAGTTTATAAGTTGAATTGAATCAAACACAAAATATGTATACATATTCATTTATATGCAAAACATACATAATTATCCAATAAGCATAGATATTTTAATGTTGTACGTTTGACGTTTTAGCAATAGTCTACAAATATATATATATGTATATCTATAGAGAGAAAGAGAGCCGATCAGGCATACAGCCAATCAGTCTACTAGAAATGCCCATTAGAGCCATAAACACATAAAAACTACTATAATCCGGAATAAGATAACACACTACTCTCATATAAATTGGTATTGGTGTGTATATGTAAAAGTATATATGATTTTTATTTGCAATGTATTTATCCAAATCAGTCAAATGCTGTGCCCATTTACTTTGTTTATTTTTTTAATTGCATACGATAATGAGATCTAAAGCTTGAATAGAACTCAATTCGCCAATAACGCGAATATTTTTATAAATATTTTAACTACAATATCTCCTAACTGAACTACTCAAAGCTGTAGAAATAAAGCAAATCCTATTGATGTCACACAATGAAAATAAATATGAAATTGAAATTATATAGATATACTATCGACAGAAAATAACTATATATATATATATATATATGTATTAATTAGTGGAACATGAATGTGTGCTATCCTATCGAAATTACAGCAATGCAAATGAAAGAGAAATAATATACATACAACATGCTGAAATACCTAAGTATGTTTATGGATGTTGAATATGAAACCATAGAAATTATTTTATCTGTTTTTAGTCGTAAGTTTTATGATAAATAACTACAAAAATAACTAATGAATGTACTACTTACTATCAAGTGGATTTTTAAATAAATTGAAAAAGGCAACATTTCATTTTTCATGTAGAGTCAACTCAAGACTAATCAGAGTTCGGTGTGAATCTAAACGGTGTTTTCAAATTTCACCCACAACAATGGAAAATGGGTGGGAAAACTTTAACATTTTTTGGAGAATGTTCTAATTTAACAGAAGGTGCATTCCTAAAACCTCCCTAGACTTATCTTAAAACAAGAACATGATTAGTGCGAGAAAGATATTCAATTCCTATTTCCAGCAACAAATGCCGTACTAAAAAATCTACATAAAGTAAAAAATAATTTAAGTTCCTAAAATAAAACTGAAACTTATTTTGAGTATGAAAACGCTTTGTTCTTGATTCAAGAATTCAAAATTTCATATGATCTGGAAATCAAGAATGACATTTCTAAATAAAATTGTTTGTATACACTTGAAACGAGTTCTAGCCTCGTTGTGTATAGTAGTTTAGTACACCGTATTTCTCCAAGTGTGCTCTACAAATTTAAAGTAAGAAATTCCAGCCCAGTTGTGTATAAATTAAGTACAACTTATTTCTCCAACTGTGGGCATAGCTGAGCAATATCAGCAATGTGTAATTTTATATATCAAAGAAGCCATCGTCCCGCATATATTGCTCTTCGATGTGACCGCTAGGCTACAGTAAAAACCGTTCATCAATCAATGTCTTCTTCGACACATTGCGACGCACCCAGAGACGAAAGATGTGCCGCAATAGCTACAAAGATTAATTGAGAGATGTCAGAAATTCAGAAATATATTATTAAATTACCATATTCAAAGCGCATGCCACAGCGGCAGCCAACAGTAAACTGGAAGTTAGCAAATTAATTGAGAGTAGCACAAGCAGTTCCAGCACAAAGATGTTTAAATGATTGCCCAGCAATAGCACACGACTAAAGCTCAGGGCATCATCTATATAGAAGGTGCCCTTATCTGTAAGATATACCATATGTTAGATATATAATGCTGTAATATTTGTACCAATAAACGCACTTTCTGTCAAATAGTTTTCAATCTCACAATTGAAGAGTTTCTCTAGCAAAGATTTCTCTTTAATCACATAATCCATATCCTTAATGGCCTGCAAGCAATGGGTATAGTTAATATATATTATAAATAATCGATTAACTTACGTGATCAATGAATGCGCAAAAGAAACGATTGACACTGGCATAGGCAATGGAGGTGCGCTCCACCTGACCATCAATACTCGAGATTTGCAGATCCTTTTGATAGAGGAGAGTCTGGGACATGCTGCCATTTCGGCTGCGCTGGAAAGGCAATAGCAAGCGCTCCAAATAGATGCTGTCATAAATAAATATGAAGGTGGAATTTTACCAATAATTATGAGCGAAAATTGTATTAACAAATTTAAATCATTTTCATTTTTCCTGTATTGAAGTCATTAAAAAGTCATTCCTTGTAGAAGCCGATTAATGTTTGACGAAGTTATTATATTGAAAAATGTATCTATTGAAATTCTCAGTCAGCGAATTACATTATTTCTAGTAATTATAATAATAGCTGAAAATATGGTAACTCAAAACTGTGACTTTCAGTCTGTACTGATTTTATCCCGCTTTGAGATTTTCTAAATTTATATATTTTCAATTATAGAAAATAGATATATTTTAAGGAATTTACTATGATCGGAAAACTTTATTTTTTACCCAGTATAAATCAACTTACCGTAGATTACGAGGCGGTAGTATAATATAGGCCTGTTTATCCGAATCGATAAGCAATCCTCTGCGTCCGCACATATTCTGCGCCTCTCGCTGCAGTTGGAGGATCATCGAGGACATGTCCGTGTCTGCAAAGCCATGCGGCGAACGTCCGTGTATATAGTAACCAAAGCCAGGTTCCAATAAGGAGAACAACGATATATTCGCTAGACTGCAGAGATCAACAAATTTCTGCAGAGGATTGGCTTGGAAAAGACGACGCAACAGCAATTGCAGGATATAGGTAACCAAATATACTCCGGCGATTAAGCAAGAGCTGAAGCTTAAATCGTTGCTCGTGTAACGCTCAAGGAGTTGATGGGCGACGATGACAACAAAAGCTTGAAGTAGACTCGAATATCTTTGGGAAGCACTCAAACGGATCCAAGCATTGGCTGTGAAAAGTACGCGCCAGGCGGAGACATTACTCTCCGCGACATAGGTGCGCACGCTGGAGCACATCGAGGAGCTGTCCAGATTCAAGCGCTGGCCCTCACCGCATGTGCTCCGTGGTCGCTCCCAATCGATGAGGAACAGCTCCAGCTGGCTGCAGCGACGCAGATGAACAGCCAGGAAGACGAATTGCAGCAGACAGGCCGGATATATGATTAGCGACAGCTGTTGCAGATCGAATGCCTGCAGAGTCAGCAGGAGCAGCGCTGTAACGAGCAGTGCCAGTGCCACATTGGCGGCCAGTTGAAGGAGCAGCTCTAGCAGATTAATTAGCTGGCATAGATCCTCACGTCGTCGTCGTCTGAGATTCTGCAACCGCAGCACCGCGGCCACCAAAGCCAAAACTAAAAACAATGGTAGCACCAGCTCCAGCACCAGCTTGGCAGCCACTCCTTGACGCACATGCTCAAAGTGCACCCGCAGACGAAAGGGATAAACTTGACTTAAGGATGCATTGCCAGTACCCAGCTCAATGTGCCGATATCGTAGTCTAAGAAGAGGTAATCCAATGCGATTTCCAGCCTGAATGCTATAATGCAGTTCCACCTGATCCACATAGCGCAGAGATCTGTAAAGCTCCAGCTTGTGGGCATCCACGTAGCTCGGCAGGGTTTTGTGCTGCCGGTTATCTCGCGGCTGTGCTGCGATGAGCTGAAACCGCTTCACCAGATGCCATTCCTCTTCTTGGGAACGCTGCAAAGGTAAGATAAACAAAAAGTGTTAAGAATACTTAAATATATATTTATTTTGTTGAAGTTGAAGATTGACTTCAAATGTATTCTAAAGTCATGGGTCAAAAGTGATTAAGATATTTAAATTTATATTCATTTAATCTTGATGGATGTTGATGTTGAACTAAAGCCTATTCTAAAGACAAGTCAAACAATTAAGATACGAGTATTTAAATTTATTTAATGTTGATTGAAGTTGGACTTAAAACCTATTCTAAAGACAATATATTTAAATGTACATGCATTTAATGAAGATGGAAGTTGAACTTAAAACGTATTCTAAAAACAAAACTCAGACAATTAAGAACTTAAATTTTAATTTATTAAATGTAGATGGAGGTTAAGCCTAGAACGTACTCAAAACTATAACAAAATTGTTGGTTTTCTAATTAAATAAAGTTGTAGAATTGTATCCAAATTGGAAAAACCCGAATATTTACAAAAATATATATTTAAATATTTTTATATAAATTTATTCTTACCTGATTCTCAGGCGTTAGTGTCTCGATGAGCACGGGCAACTGATGCAGCAGGAACTGATAGTTGCTGCTAAAGTTTAGATACAGATTGATGTAGTTGTCATTAGCCTGCTGATTGGCCACATCTATAAGCTGCTCCAGACTCAGCTGGCAGTTGATCTCCTTCTGTCGCTGAGCAAAGCTCAAACTGGGCGCCTTTTCACCTGGACATAGATTTAATTGCTGCAGATTGAAGGGACCCCAACGGCTTAAGCTGCCCGCCAGATCATAGTTAGTGCTAAAGATTTGCAACTGCCCCGGATTCGCCAACTGAAGTGTGGTCGTCAACAGTTCCTTCGTTATTCTGCCCTTCTTGTAAAACACAAAGGGTTCGAGAGCCTTCAGCTGTTCCCCGGCGTGAGCATACTTCATGACCACATCCGACATCTGGGTGAGCAGAAAGGGACTACAAGGCGAATGCTTGTCCATCGAGTAATCGGAGAGCACACACAGATTCGCCAACTGTTGGCAGGCACTGTCGTTCTTCAGGGCCAGGCAAAAGAACGCCACAAACTTCAGATCACCAAAATGTAATCTCGAATTTTGGTTCGACTTAATCGTTGCTTGCCAAAAGGCATTATAATGCAAATAGGGACGCAATAAAGTATTGGCTATGCAGTAGTCCTGATAACGGAAATTATAAGCCGGATCACAATTATGGCAATCACTGATGTTGCTGGCAGGATTCGTTTTAGTTAAGACAATCGCAGCGCTTTGTTGATAACCCGATGAGGTATTTAAATATTGAAAACTGCATTGCAAAGGCGATTGAAAAACTGTTGTACAATTATCAATTTGTGGTGTATTTGAATTGTTGCAGATCTCTTCACAAATCGGCCAACGTTTGATTTTCTCAAATATGGATATGTGGCCAACAGGACACTGGCAGGCGAATACTAAAAAGTTTTAGAAAACAATAGATTGTTAAAGATTAATTTTTTTTGTTTATTAATAAGCAAGAATTTCAAGATAACTCACTTTCCAACGATGTAAGGGAGAAAACCGTTTTTTTTACACTTATGAGTAGAATACTAATTATCTGTAAAAAGTACGTGGAATCACTCAGTGTGTGTGCGTAGAAACGATCAACAGATAGCGTTGAAAATTGTTAGTCTTCCCAAATGTCCGTTTTCATTAAGGGTAGTTTGTGTCTCAAAGACGTGACATGAATGATAAGATAATCTACAGTTTCATGGCCAAATGATTTCTTTATTCCTCTTTTACGACTGCTGGCGTGCGTAAAATATTTGAAAGGTCATAAAACCATAAGACAACTAGACAAACAACCAGAGTCTTGACAATAAATTACATGCGAATCCTGTTCATTGTTTAAAATATCCTACTGCATAAGAGTCCTTTTATATCTGCTTGAGCCATTTCTATGCCCAGCCTGTTATATGTATTTTCGTCAACATAATAAAGTGAGATTTTTGTGAAAGGTTCCTTTAAAATAAGCAAAGTAAGCACAAAGATGTAATCTGGGAAAACTGATATGCTTTTCAATATTCGTATGGATTACTCGTAGTTGCTTTCAATTATTTTGTTGTGATAATTTAATGAAATAAATTTTCATTTTCAGACTCTATAAAGTACAAATATTCCTGATCAGTACTGGCCGTTGAGTCGATTTAGCCATCTGTCCGACTACCCATCTTAAAGACTTTAGGATCTAGAGACTTCAAATTTGGAATATGAGTTCTCGTAACTGCTCCCAAATATAGCAAATATCAATACAAATAGATTTTAGAAATCAATAATAGATACAGTTGTGAAGAAATAACCTCCAAATAAATATATTGTGTAATTTGACATATTAATATATGAAAATTGTGTTAAGATTGGATAAGAAAAACAGAATTTATTAACCAAAAAGTATTTTCATATTGAATAAAATAGTATATGCAAGCTTTCTAGGTATTTCAAGAATGTGTTCAGCGCAAGTTGTAGTAGAACTGTCTCGATCTTGTTTCTTTTTAAAATACATTGAATATGGGCTTTACCTACAAAAAATCTATGTATGTGCACTTAGAAGTTGTTCGTTTTGCCGATATTTAACCTCATTTCAAATTCACCCCTGCACTTAGGTCTATTTAGGGTACAAGAGCTATATATGGGTATTTAAAATGCAATGTTCACCCCTTTCTCAGCACCATGGAGAGAGATTTGTTAAATCAATAGTAGACTTACTATCCGCTGTGGGTTGCAACTCGTTGATGGTTCCTCGACCTCCATCAGGTCCTCCTCCGTCTCCAGCCTCATTTTTACATGGCGAGCACTCAAAGTAGTTCAAATTGTAGAACTCATTTTTCACACACCTTTCGATATTTTGATAACGAAATGTTTGAGCCGTCGGAGTCTGTTTTGGATCCAGTTGAGTGCAATTGCTCAATTTAGTAGAAATTATTGCCCACAATAATAAGGGGAAGAACCAATTGAAACAATGGAAGCACATAATATTTATGTTTATATGTGTGAACTCTCAGTTTTAGTTCTGTACTCAGTGAATTTCGAATGGGAACTGAGTTCAAGCTGGCTGCAATTGCAGGTGAAGCTTGGCCAGTAAACAAGTTCCTTGGCCGCATTTATATCGCCTAGATTGTTTGTCAAAAGTTGCTATAGCTACCCAAACTCAACCCTCTTGTATATATACATGTTTATATATTCTCATCCGTCGGTGGCGACGACCGTTTTGAACACTGAGAAAATAAGTGAGCAGTTTAATATGCATAGAAAGAATATTTTAAGAACTATTTTTTAATGTTAAACTGCTTAGGGATGAGGCTTTAAAACATGTTCAAATATATATTTTTTTTAAATAAAGCAACTAAATATTATGGGTAAGAGATAGTATGAAAGTTCTTAAATCAATACTGATATTCTCTGGAAATAGGATAAATATACAATTTAATGTTCAATAAAGCTTCTATTGAAAATGGGAAGTAAATCTTATAAGTAAGAGTAAGTATTAAAGCAAGTATTACTGATATTCTCAGAAAATTGATCTAATTCATCTTATATATAGAATTTAATGGGAACATTTTGGTTTTATTCCATATATGGTTGTAACATAAGCGCTACATTTTCAAAGAACATTATCAAGATCAGATTGAACTTAACGGCAATTATTCAATACCGCTTCTAATTGAATGTAGGTCAGCGTTTTTCGCTAAGTGTACGGCTGAAAATTGCTCATTACAACTGGTGGTTAAGGGTCCTTTGGGCTTTGTTTGTTTCATTGGTGGTCAGCAATGGAAATGAGCTTAATATGGGCGTCACTTGTTACGCCTTTCGCTTTGGATAATATCGCGTGCCAGATGAGTTTTATTTTGCCATATTTGCGTGCTGTAAATTGTGATTAGCTCATTTATATGTTTGCTAACTTCATGCTTAAGCCATTTTACTTACGACCTGAATTAATGCTGGCAAATAAACAAAATTCTTTTGGTCCTGCATTAAAGAAAATAGTTTGCGGTCTTTGATTCTCGAGGAAAATAAATTTAATTCACCAGTTGAATAATATTTATTTTTAATTTAATACATTACAAGTAATTAAATTTTAAATTTTAAATTTTGTGTTACACAAAAGAAATAAACATATATTCCTATTACTGTTCATTACCAACATATACGAACATAAGATTTATTCATCTGCTTATCATAAATATACAATAAATTCTCAATCAACACAATCGATGTATCGCAAAAGCTATGCATTTGTCAGCAATCGATATATTGTAAATTATCGTCGTGTCTAGAAACATCGCTAAGCAGCTATTAATCGATATGATGAGTATCAACAATCCCCACTTCCTTGCTGAAGGACAACAGAAATAGTTGGCAGACACATACAATTTTTTCATTTTAATTTCACTAATATAGCTTGGAATAATTTTTCCAAGAATTTGGACATCAAGACAAGAGCCGTTAGTGTTTCAAAGATGCGTTGGTGGCGCCAGATCAAATAGATGCAGATGCCGCCGCTGCACAAGCAAAAAGAGTCAATAGCCGAAAAATGAACAATTTGGTAAGTCTGCTACTGTGTATGTGTATGCGTATGTGTAGATGTATGTGTGCATCGTCGGTGGGTGGGTGGGTGGGTGTGTATAGGTGTTGCTGTGCATGTATACAAATTTAACAGACTGTGTGCGAGTTCTGTTAACGTTAATGTGTCTCTGTTTGTGTTTGTTTCTGTATACCCTTTAAGCCGACAGTATTATAATATTTTCGTTAAACATGTAACGCATTAATCTTGTTGATATATATATATATAAGTTGTGGGATCCAAATAGGAAAATAACTACACCAATGTTGTCAATTGAGTTTGCAACAAGTATATATTTATTCAAAAATAGAAGAGTAGTTTAACATATTTATTTCTAGTTATTTTTTTAATACAGCAAAATAAAACCAAATCTGCTCTTGAGAAGCAGAAGGCAGTGCGCTGTTAAAGAGATGCAGTGGGGCATGTTAAAAGAAGAAGAAATCCTATGTATCGGCAGCGTGAGCGGGAACGTGATTGTGAGTAGTATGTGTTTTTATATGCAAAGTGGTCCCCCATTCTAATGAAACATGATCTACAAAAAAAATATCGGTGCAATCCGGATTGGATCAATATATCATATATATATATCATATGTTGCCATAGAAACGAGCGGTCGAAAGATGAAAAAAACGTATTTGTGTAAAACGATATTCAGACCGAAATTGCATAATATGTATTAATTAATTAATTTGAATATAAAAAATCGAATAACATCAATTAATATAATCATCATCATCATCATCTTCAAATCATCGAATTCTGATTACTATGTATCATATAGCTTCCAGAGAAACAATTGCTCAATGTGATCGTTGATCTTCCTAAGATAGATGTACTTATAACTCAATAATATATGTATTTATATCACCTATTTTATGAAATGTATTATTTATTAAATATATTATTTATTTCGAACTCCGAACTAAATCAATTTCAATTGAAATTGCAGGATCACGTAAAACACTTTTATCCCGAAAACTACAAATTGGATTTATCGGAGACGATGAAGGCGGCACTATCTAAAGGCCCAGTGGGCGGTGGCGGAGGCGTGGTCAATGCCACAGGCAGCAGCAGCAGTGGCAGCAGCAACAACAGCAATTTATCCAGCTCGATGGGTGCACCATCACTGAGCGATTTGTTGCAGCAACAGCAGCCCAACGCCGGCGTTGGCTACGTGACCGAAAAGCTGTATATGTTGCTACAACTGTATCTGCAGAACAAGGGTTGGAATCCAAGTGCTGAGCTGCTGCAGTGCTTCAGCGATCTGAAGGACAATGCAATGCTACCCAGTGCTGCATATTTGCAGTGAGTATCCAAGATTCGAATTGTGTATGTCCTATTAAAATGAACCTGTTTTACAGAGTGCTGGCGAATCGACTAACGCTGGACTCGCAGGGCCGTCTAATCCTGCGCGACAATGGCAAGATTGTGTTGCCGTTTGAGCACTTTGCCAATGCTGTCATGCTGAAGCACATGTCCGGACCACATGGCCTCCATCTCAGTGTGGATGCGACAGTGCGTGCGGTGATCGAATCGTACACGATTGGACGGGATCAGTTTGGAATGGAGAAGGAGTTCATTATTGAGGTGGTACAATCGTGTCCGAGTCCCGCTTGTCGCTACTATAAAAATCACATGGGCATCTCCCCAATGCCATTTATGGAGCAACAATATCCGGGTGTGAATACGCCCGATTTTATTCAACGCTTGTCGCATCTGCCACCGAGTGCAGCAGCTGGCAGTGCCACCACTGCAAGTGCTGCTGCTGCTGCGGCGGCGGCTGCAGCTGCTGCTGCTGCGAGTGGTGTGTCCAGTAATAGCAACAATGCTACAACCGTTGAGATTGATCTGTCCAAGTCGAGTGGCGCAAAGGTACCGCCACAATTGCAACATTTGACCAAGCAGCAGCAGAGCAGCATTCAATCGCAGTTGTCCCAGATCAGTGCAGCTGCTGTCGCCGCACATCACCAGCAACAACAGCAGCAACAACAACAGCAGCAGCAGCAGCAACAACAACAGCAACAACAACAGCAGCAACAACAACAGCAGCAACAACAACAACAGCAGCAGCAACAACAACAAGCCCAGGCTCAAGCTCAAGCGAAACATCAGCAGCAACAATTGACGGCAGCCTTGATACAACAACAGAATCGCGTGCTCGCCCAGCAGAGCCTGGAGAAGCTGAGCAATCTGAGCGCCTTGGAGAAACAGCGCGTCTTTGCCCAGCTCGATCCGAAGCATTTTGATCCCATGGCTGTGGCAGCTGCGGCAGCCAATTTGCAAATTCAGGGCATGATGCAGTCGCAAGCAGTCGCCGCCGCAGTTGCCTCCAATCAGCAACAGCAGCAACAACAACAGCAGCCAGCGGCATCTTTGACTGTCAGCAGCAACTCAGCAACAATCAGCTCCAGCGTTGGCGCTCAGGTGCATCATGGTCATCATACGCTGCCATCGCCGTCGCAGTCGCCACACTCTTTGTCCTCCTCGTCCTCCTCGCACTCCTCGATGGATCAGCTAACGCACAAGAATATGGCCGAGTCCTTACGGTAAGTATCGCATACATATCTTGTAATATATATAAAACAGTTGCAGCAAAATAATAGTAGTGCTGCTTCTCAAAAAATTTGATAAAAATAGGACTTATTTTATGGTGATCAAATTTGAGACCTCTTCAAAATCTTCAATATTTGCAAAAATTAAAATCTGCAAAATAAAAAATGGTTTGGTTTCTCACCTGGAAATGTTTTGAAATACTATTATTTTCCAAATACCAAACGCAGAAAAATTTAAGAGATGAAACTTTCATAATTTTTTAACTATATCTTAAGTAATTTTTCTTAGCATTTTGAAAGACATGTACACTATTACTTTGACTGCAGCTGTAGATATAATCTTTTATTTCGCTAACTGATTATTATTTATTGTCTAGCTCCAATCTGGACTCGATTGAATCGAACAAGGATCTGTTGGCATTGCACAATGGTGCCTGGACCAGTCAGGATGCGAATCGCATCGATCACACTGGCGTCGGTCAGGACAAGATTGTGCGCATCTTCTCGGAGCTGATGCGCAATATGTCGCGCATGAAGACCTACATAAGACCCTCCATGTGCAAGCCCTATGGCAAGCAGAGTGAAAGCCTACAGAAGAGTAAGTGCATCCTGTAAAGATTAATTGTTTGACTTGAAAGTATAATTCTATTTTTTTTTTTTGCGCGCAGCTCTAATGGACACCATACAAATAGTGCAGACGCTGCGTAATTGTTTGCCAGCACCGCATATTCCTGTCTCGTCTTGGAAGAGCGAAAGCGAGGGCGGCAGTGTCAGTGTTGGGGGCGTTGGGGTTGGAGTGGGTGTGGTGCCGTCAGGAATGAACCTAAACACACTCGGTTTGCAGTCCAATCGTGTGGATAACTTGCACTAAGTGAACCGCAAACTCAAAGCTAAATCGCATCTAAAATTACGTTAGGTAATAACTTAATCCTGCGAGTATCCCAACAACAACAACAATACAGTATTTATATAGCAGATTTATATCATCTTCATTGGCTTGGCTCATGGTTTTTCAATTATAACTAGTATATATATTATGTGCCATGGTTCAAACACAAGACTTGATTTCATTTCAATATTTGACTGATTTTGTATAGCTTGTTAAGGGCTTGTTAAGATTTATGCGCTTAAGTCTAAGATTAAGATTTCTTGCAAGATTTCTTGGATTTTATTTATTATTTAATTTGTCGCTCGTTTTATTTACACTTTTGGCATATACAAAATTAACTAAGCATATTAATTCAATTGGCAAAAAGTCTGTGATATTTAAATTATGTTTAACAAGCACAAGCATTAGCAAAAACAAAACAAAAATCCAAAATTAAAATTAATTTATTATTGTGTGTTTCTTTTGTTGCAAACTGCAATTTACTTTGTGCAATATTATATAAAATTGTCCAAAAAAACAAAAAACTATTCTTAATTGTATTCTTAACCACTTTTGTGCAATTGAAAAAAGCAAACAACTTTCTCACTCATATCAAAAGCGCATAGCATTAAACTCAAGGGCGAAATATGCCCCTCTATACTATGTATTAAATTATAAATAAATATAAATATATACGATCTAAGATAATGCAACATATTATGTAGTAGAAGAGAGTTCAGAGAGGTGCAGGCAAATCGGAGTTGTATTAATTTGTAAGCAGTAGCAGAAGGGTTGTATTTCGACTACACACACACACACACAAGCACACACACACATAACAAACACATTCGTATGAATAAGCTAAATAATATTACAAATAATAATATATTTTATTCCATGCTAAAAAAAAAACATTGAAAATAACCGAAATAACCGATCCTTATCGAGCATACAGTATTATTCAGAAATAAAAGACACTTGCAATACCATTAATATTTCCCTAGCTAAAATAAATAAATGTAAAAATAATATATAAAAATATATAATTATGTCGATTTAATCTTTCCAAATGATGATAATCTTTTTATTATATTTTACAAAATTACGTTGATTTTAAATAGCGCACTCAACTAATAACGTTTAGCTGGCAACGCTGTCTGAGCATGGTTGATATTATTAAATATATCGATGTTCGTCGCATCGATATGCATGCATAAATTGCATGCACATTTCATTTATCGATAGGTGCAATCGATATCAACTTCCCTACCGTCTGTGCTTGAGCACTGCGTTTTTCGTTGATAATTTTTTTAAAATTAAGTTTTAACGTATTAATTTAGTAATTTATTCGTTTCAAATAGTTTCAAAGTGCCCAACAAAGATACCGCAACGTTTTCCTTAACATTTTACGTACTTTCGTGCGCGCGCTTTGTGTGAAAAATGTGAAAAACATTGCCGATGGTAATGGTAATTGGAGAACGTTTTTTTTTCTATTATTTTATCTCCTCTTCCGCTTCGTTTTTTGTATGGTGCTCTACGTGCTCTTTGTGCCCCTGCTCCCTCTAACCAACCAACCAACTGCTGCATGCCCAATTGTTGTGTGTGTGAAAAATAAATATATATGTGAAAAAATTGTATTAAAACTAAAATGCAAATAAATAATTGAATGAGGTGCAACAACATTAAAAATGATAGCAGACGCTCCCTCTACTACACAACACACACACGATGCCGAGCTGGCATATTTTGTTATGCGACGCCGTCAAATTTCTGCGATAATCAACGGCCGCGAACTGTTCGCTTTGCACTCTGCGCAAGGAATTTACAACAACAACAAAAACAATAATGTTTTTTTTTGTGTGCGCGCCTACAGAATATAAAATACAATGCAATAATGAAATGTGCAACAAAAGCTGAAACTATTATACTGTGATATTAAATGAGCTCGACAATAAACTATTATAAAACAATTGTTACGCAGCATCTCAAAACATATGGCAAAATATAAGTTCGTAAATACATACATACATATAGACGTATATGTATGTGTATGTGTGTGTGTATGTATATGTCCGAAGTCCAATGGGACGTGTTGATAACCATTAATTTATGATTGTGCGTAGATTTTTTTGACAAAAATAAACTCGTAATTATGCCGGCTTCTGACTAATATGTAATTGTGTAATTTGTGTATCGGCAAACTGTTGAATGTAATTTACAACAGTTATCGACGGTTCATAACCTAGGACACATTTCATAGATAGTGCGTCTCATACATACATACATACATACACATGTGGGTATATGTATATGTGTTTAAAGCAACCATGCATGTAAATTCAGTCGTACGCTAAAATTAAAAATTAAACAAAATGGCAGTTGGTGGAGCACGCAGCAAACGTTCTTGGGTGTGAGCAGCACCGGACACTCGCTCGCTCAGAGAGAGAGAGAGCGCGAACGAAAGAGGGAGAGCGAACGAGTGAAGTAGCGAGTGTTTGTTGCTCTCGCCTATGTGTGTGTGTGTATATTCAGTTAACGCGGAAAGTGTTTGTATGTGTGCGATTATTTGTGTTTGTGTGGCTGTGTGTATGTAACAGAGTGTGGAGTAAAAAGATGGAGCACAATATATAAAAACAAAATGCGAACGTATAAAAACAAGAACAAAACGAAGAGTAAAAAGGAAAAACAAAAAATGTTACACACAGAATTAAACATAATTTTTTATTTGATTTAGTCTGTTTGTGTTTGTCTCAACAACAGCAACAGTGGCAGTGAAAACTAACTGTTGTGTGTGCATGTGTGCGTGTGTGCAAGAAAAACAACACAAATAAAAGAAGAAAGAAAAAAAAAAACGAATGAAAAAAAATCAGATATTGATGAAGTGAAGCGAGGCAAACAACAAACAGAAACAGCATAACATAAAGTACGGCGTAAAAATGTTGCAGCTAATGCAAAAATGACCGATGAGCGCAATAATAGCAGCAGCAACAACAACAACCACAACAGCAACAACAGCAGCGGCAGCAGCAGCAGCAATAACAGTGCCAATAACAGCGAGCGCTTAATTGCAGAGGCGGCTGCCAAGTTTTTACTCAAAAATGGTTTAAACGGTACCAATGCAGCAGCCGCAGCGGCCGCTCAACTGCTAACAACAGTAGCTGCAGCTGCTTCTGCTTCTGCCACATTTCAACTGCCTGCCGCACCAGAACTGAAGACACCAACAACAACGGGAACAGCAACAACAACAACCACATCAACATCGACGTCATCATCAACCTCATCAACAACACTATCAACGACATCCAATGGCATCACGCCCACTTTGTCAGCGCCCACTAAAACAAACAGCAGCCAAAGCAGCAACAGCAGCAGCAGCTGCAATAGCAGCAGCTCAAGTCTTCTCACCATGGCGACGGCCTCTGCCACGGCGCTCGTTGCCGCCTCTGCCGCAGCTCCAAAAGCGCCCATCGATGTCATGTCGGGTGTTCTGGATTATAGCTCACTAAATGGTCCAAGTGCTGCCGCTGCTGCCGTTGCGGTTGCCTCAACAACAACAACGAAGAGCAGCAAATTTGGTAACGGCAGCAGCAGTGGCTTTGATATGGGCAGGCATCCGATATCAACGCACAGCAACAACAGCATGCCAGGCTTAGGTGGCCGGCTGCAGTTTTTCAAAGGTAAGTGGTGTTATTTTTTTGTTCATAGTTCTTTAGACTGACGAAAACTTTGATTATTTGTTGTACCACTAAAAATGGGGAAAAATGTATAATGAAGTGCCATACTGTAAAAATTTCATTAAGATCACATAAGAAACACAGCCACCAAAATGAATTTTCTTATTGAAAATACAAATCTCCTAGTCGATATCGCTCTCGTCTAGAGATTGATAATTTGTTAATTTTTTTAAACTTGTTTTCTTTAAAATCTTAAAAAGTGACTATTCTAATTTTTATCCATCACTGCCCTTATACCTTTGTTCTGAGGCGAACTATCTTACCAGCAATCTGGCTTATATTGCCAGCAATCAGACACGAACTTTTTGGGAAAATCGTATAAAATAAGGGTCAGGACAGGACCCAAGTTATCCGATAAGCCAAGTATGGTAAATCTAGGTTTTAAACTGGTAGGCGATATAGATTATTGTAATTAGTTGACGCATTCCTAATTTAAATATTTCTACATAGCTTGAATTCTGTAAACAACTTTCACTCCAGACGAAATTCATAATTGGCATTGGTTTTCATTTTTGCTTTCCAGATGGTAAATTCATATTGGAACTGGCACGGGCTAAGGACGGCGATAAGGGTGGTTGGGTGTCGGTGCCGCGAAAACCATTTCGGACACCATCGGCGGCGACATCGGCGACGGTGACGCCCACATCGGCCGTGACAACAACGTATCCAAAGAACGAGAATTCAACATCGCTAAGCTGTAAGTGGAATGCAAATAATTATAAAAATATATATTTATCTAATGTGGCTTTGCAGTTTCGGATGATAATAGCTCCATACAGTCATCGCCGTGGCAACGTGACCAGCCCTGGAAGCAGACGCGGCCGCGTCGTGGCATCTCCAAAGAACTGTCGCTCTACTATCAGCGTCCCCGCCACAATGTGGTCCTTAGCCAAAGTGCGCGACAGGCAGCGGCGCGAAAACGACGTCGTCCCTATGAGCCAACGCTTGCTATCGACGATCCACTGTCGATTTTTGAGCGCATCCAAACGCTAGAGAATGGCGATGAGACGCTTAAAGCTATAGACACGCCAGAGCAGGAGCAGCAGTCAGATAATGAAATAAAAGTTGAGCCTGATGCGATAAAAGTGGACGAGGATGATGTGGCTGATGAGATAAAGACAGAGCCGGAGGCAAAAACGTGTCCGGATGATGACAGCAAAGATGAGCTTAAAGCTGAAGCGACTGTGGAGAAAATGAACACGAGCGAGGATGAGGATGCCATGTCCGTGACAGTGGACGATGCGACACCAACGACAGCCAGCTTGCTCAACGGCAATTCCAGTGAGCTGAATGGCGATCTCAAGTATGAGAAGGAGGCTGGCAGCGATATGAGCACAAGGACGACAACATCAGCGGCGACAGCAATGGCAGCAACAAAAACAACAACAACAGACATAAGACTTAAAAAGCAGAAACCCAGAGCCAAGCTCAATAGCATCATACAGAAACTAATCGACGGCGTTCCCGCACGCCTCGAGCAATTGTCCAAGACACCAGCAGCGACGGCGGCAACAGCAGCAGCATCATCAACAGCGCCAACGTCAACAGCAGAACGTAACAACAGCAGCAGCGGTGGCGGAGCCATCGGTAGTCTAAGTCACTCCTTGGCACACAAGGTATGCACCGAATAAATTATCAACTTCATATGGGTGCCTGGTCAAATAGATACAGTTGAAGGCAACTGCAAAGCTGAGAGCTTGCTAGACAAGGCACTATTTACCCCTTCTCACAGATAAGGAAGGCAAATGTACATGTTAGCTGAAAATCCGGGTAGAAAACGGACGCAGGTCAAATGACAAATAGCGAAACCTGGCCCAATTCAAACACAAAACACAGTAGAGAGCTGTGTAATTTCAGCCGTAATAATCCGTGCTATAACCGGCCACTTGTTAGTCGGTATTTATGCCTACAGACTGCACTTGCCAGGAAAAGACTCGTCATCCTGGGAAACTCCTTTCTAACAAATCTATCACAGTTTGCGAAAATAGGACCAACCATGATTGTAAAATGTATAAACGCAACGGGCTAGACCACTCTTTGATCACAGTTTATACGAGTCCCACACGGTGTCACAACAGGCCGAGCGTGGCCTATGTAAGTCGACTCACTAGTCGGCAAGCGTCTAATATAGTAGCTATGAGTATGTTATTGTCGAATACGGTTTGTAACGAGCTTTGTATACATATGTATTTCTTAAACTCATTAAATATATCAGTCTGTAAACGTTCCCTAGCTACAAAAACGTTCAAGATTATTTGTTAGAGGAAAAATTGATCGAAAATGTTTTTGAAATTATCTTTCTTATATGTTGATAGAGCTCATAAAGCTATAAGTACGATCTAATCGAACTAGCATAGTAATTAGATCAAATGTTCTTATGGGTTTTTTTTAGCTTGATAGTATCAATCTTTTCAAACTCAACAATTATAAGTTTTATCATGCATTATCATTATCGGCACTTCGACAATGACTTTTGCAGAATAAGAGCCCACTATATTTAAATCTTAATTAAATCAATTTTTTTTTAGGTCTCGCCGCCATCGTCGGCAGCGGCTGCCAGCCGTCTAGTCGAATATCATCATCAGTCGCCGCGCAAGCGCATACTGCGTGAATTCGAGAAGGTATCGCTGGAGGATAACAATGGTTGTATTAACAATGGCAGCGGTGCCGGAGGAGGCGGCGGCGGCGGTATTGGTTGTGGTGGTGGTGGCAGTCTCAGTGGTAGTGGTGGCGTTGGTGGCAAACGAAGTCGCGCCAAAGGTGGCGGCAGCAATAGTAATACATTAATAAGTAGCACACTGGCCAGCAAAGCAGCGATGCCAATGAATCTGGCGCCGCCGCAGGCCAAAGTGATGCTGACCACACCCCCCACTACAACTACAACGACAACAGCAGGAGCAGCTGCAACAGGTACACAAGCAACGCAGCAGCCGACACGACTGAATAGCTCATATAGCATACACTCGCTGCTGGGCGGCAGCGGCGGAAGCAGTAGCAGCAGCGGCAGCAAAAAGAGTCACGATCAGCCGGCGACGATAATCAGCAATGTGCATCATTCGCATCATCATTCGCATCATCATCAGCATCATCATGGCTTGTATGGCAGCAGCGGCAGCTCCTCAAACTATCCACGAGCGCTGCTCCACTCCCCGAAATCACCGGAAATGGGCGGCAGCGGCAGCAATGGCGGTAAATCGCCATCGCATGCGGCCAGCAAGAAGCAACGTTCGCCGCCATATGCCGCCGCTGCCGGGTCACCGCTGCCCATCGACTACGGGCGGCGCACGCCGCCAGAGAGCAGCTATAAGCTGGCCCAGCAGCTGCAGCAGCAGCATCATTCCTTTTATGCGCCCTATGTTGGCGCTGGCATTCCACAGACTGCTGGCGGTGGCGGTGGCACACGTGATCTGTTATCGCCGCCGCGTTCATCGAGCGCCTCGCCAGCTGCTGCTGGTGGTGCTGGGAATACGCCGCATCGCACCGTGCCCAAGAAGACTGCATCGATACGACGCGAGTTTGCTTCGCCGACAACCAGCTGCAATAGCAATAATAGTAATACAAGTTGCCCTTCGCCCAGCGAGCGGAGCAACACATCCTCCCCAGAGCAGCGACGCCATCTCCAGCAACTTCAGCGTGCATCGCCAAGCGCACAAGCTGCAGCGGCACAAGCTGCTGCTGCCGCTGCTGCTGCCGCAGCTGCTGTCGGTTCACCCTTGCATTATTATATGTATCCGCCGACGGCGGCGACGTCGCAATTGAATGGTGGCGGCACAGCCAGTCCCACGCCGACGACAAGCAGTGCAGCGGTTGCAGCTGCTGCTGCCGCTGCCGCTGCAGCTGCATACATTCCATCGGTGGTGTCGCCATCGCTCTACCATCCATACATATCGACGCTTGCGGCGCTGCGGCACAATCCGATGTGGGTGCAACATTACCAGGCAGGCGCTGCGCCGCTGTTGCCCCCACCACCACCACCGCCGCCGCAGCAGCCGCCGCAGCAGCATTCGCATCCACATCCACATACGCATTCGAGCAGCGGTGGAGCCGTGGCTCGACTATCACCACAATCGCCGTATCATCCTTTTGGCTATAATGGTGTGAGTGCTGCGGCTGTTGCTGTTGCCGCGGCCGCTGCGGCCTCAGCATTTGGCCAGCCATCGCCATCGTCAACGAATCCTGCGCATATGGCACATGTGCATGCGGCGGTGCATCCGGTTGCGCATCATAATCATACGCCGCCCACACATTTGGCCGAGCATCGAACGCACACGCCAAAACTGACTGATACTTGTACTGACCAAATGTTGTCAACAAATGCTGCAGCGTCGTCGTCGTCTTCGTCGTCGTCCAGTCATCATCGCACCACCACCACCAGCACCACCACGACCAACATTTCCGTCTCCAGCGCCAGTGCACCAATTGGTGGTGGCATCGGCGGTGCAAGCGGCAGCCTCGCCTCCTCAGTACAATCCGCAATGTTTCAAAATAGTAGTCTAAGAAATGAACTAAGTTCAGGTAAAGTACAAATTGCACTTTTAAATGCCAAATAATAACTAATTTAAATAATATTTATCTTTTACAGACTTACCATTGAATCTGTCAAAACACTGAGAGACCCTCACATGTTCCCTTGCACCACCAACACCACCACTAAACCCCAGCCCAGCGCTTCCTTTCCAGTGCCTGGGCAGCCCTCGAGTTAAGTACATTATTGCACTAGTAGAGCTTAAGAAGACGACATTCAAACCACACACACACAACACACACATAACTATCGGATAAGTTTAGCTGATATTTTAGCTGTAACTCAATTGTTTTGCATTAAGTTAGCTAGGGTTTTTATTTTAAGGCCGAGACAATTCAAAAAAAAAAACTTCGAGTTTTTCCTAAAAAAAAGAGAATCAAATCTTAAAAAGTTTTCAAACCCGTTCCATAACTATTTATGCAATCAGTTAAGAATATAAATAGCCAACACGGCATGTATTTTTTTGGCCAACATATTCACTAACCAAACTTTGCAGTGAAATATAATACATATATTTTATTTAATCTTTTTATTCAAATTCCCAGAAGATGCACGTCTTGAAGAATCTCAAAAAATATATTTAAAGACCCGTATTTCAATGTCCATTGAGATATCGGCCCTTAGATGATTTTTTTTTTATCAAAACATTTCCTTGAAACAGACTGAACTTAAAATTTTTTTAGAGAGAAGAAAAATAAGAAATTTAACATAGACCACTGCATCTTACTTTTTATATGTATGTGTGTGTTATGTAACAAAACATTTTGAAAAAAAAAAAAACGGAAGAAAAAAACAAATCAGATTTTTTTTTTATATAGAATGCGTGTGCCTTTGAACATGAAAATAAAACTAGGGATTTATAAAAAGCAAAAAAGGAGAGAAATGTACTACGAAACTTCTACTTACAAATTGAAGCATTCACACAAAAAAAAAAAAAAATGTTTTCAAACAATATGTTATTCTAAAATGCATACCTAAATGGTATACAAAGCAAAAAATGAGAGGTCCAAATACCCAGATGCGAATAGCAAATGATTGACAATCGATTTTGTATTAAATTAGAGCCATACGTAAGAGAAATAAGAAATTACCATTGCAAAAATTTAGTTAACAATAATAATAATATAGACATATTTAACTTTTTTATAAGTTTCGAAATGTGTTTAGTCCAAGTAATTTTATTAAATATTAAATGCAAATATAGCAAAATATTTTAAAGTATAATACTTATTTATTTTACTATGTTTTCATTTGAAAAATATTCAAAAATAATCTTGAACAATTTTAAACAATCAAAACAGATATTTAATTGAGTAGTTTAAGATTCACATGGAATTGTCCAAATTTTCTTAATTTTAAACTATTCAATTAAAAATGTATTTATACAGTTTCGATGTATGGCTCAGCTTAATACAAAAACGTCAATGTAAGCTAAAAAAAATATATATAAAACAAATTCAAATTGCAAAAAAAAAGAAATGTACAAAAAGAACGCTACGTCTACATATACAGAAAATATTTACAAAAAACACACACAGACCTAAATTTCGTACAACTGAAAGAAATACAAATAAACGAAAAGAATATATATTCCTAAAAAGTAAAAAAGACAAAAAATATTTCTCATATTTTCTAAATTATTTATATAATACAAAAATGACTATTTATATGTTATGCTATAAGTAAAAATAGTTGTAATTTTTGTAAATACAGTATTTTTACACCGACAACAATGTAACAACAAAAACAACAACAACAAAAAAACTAAACAAAAGCAACAAATGAGTAAAAACAAAAAATAACCCATATATTTAATATAAACTATTTTCATTAAAGGATATTAACTTGATATACTACTGACGTATACACAATAATAAAATCTAAATGATTCCATAACCTAAATATTTCCCCGATTTACCGTTAACCTTTTTATAGTTAGCGTTAAAAAAAAAAACAAAAACAAAATAAATTAAAAAAAGAAAGAAGAAAGTGAATGCAAAAAGCGAAAAGCTAAACATGAAGAGAAAATCAAATTTCCATGAATATTAATTCCGCCTAGGCTCTATAAATTTGTATTACGATATATATTTCTCGGTACTGTGTACACAAGGTTTTTGTTTTTCATTTAATCATCATCCGTTTGTTTATATATATTTATATGTAGAACGCTGGCAACGTTTTTTAATAGTGTACTGTGTGCATTTAAGAGACGCTGTTTGGCAAAGGTTTCAAACACTTAGAGCCGCGAACCTAACTGAAAAACGCGCGATAGGGTTATGTAGTATAGTATACATATATATATATATGTATATATATATATATATATATATATACATATGCTGCGTCGTCTATGGTCATGAGATGAGTGTAAAGTTAACCGGAAACGAAACTAGTTTTAAACAAATAATATATTTTATATACGTACATAAAACTGAAACTGAATTATTGATGTCAAATAAAAATTTATACTAAATGAGTTCTATAATGTTTTTATTCAATGAAATTTTCTGGATAGATCACAAAATCTGCAAAACATATCTTTAAAATTTTATCGTTATGTTCTTCGGAAACTACAGTGGCAATTTGGATGTTAGTTTCAAATAAATTGTTTGGCCCAAGACTCGTAAGGATCCGCCAAGATATGGCAGAGTTATGAGCGGTTTTCCGTTTTAATAAAAGTATTAGTCAAGGGACTTTCGACCCTATTATTCACCTTTATATTTCTTTGATATATATATATATATATCAAGTTAATTGTGATTATTAGGTTTTAATTTTTTTCTATTTATGTATTTATTTGGAAAATTTTCTTGACTATTGGAAATTCTGAACAATTAATCCTGATATGGCCAAGCTATGGCTTAAAAACAGCTGCCCTTTACAAAAAAGATAACTCTCTCTGAATTCTTTAGAGATTTAGGAAGGACACGATGCTGTAAAGTCGGATGGATTTTCTCTATGGAACTGCATGTAACGATTATGGGATAATTTAAGAATCCCAAGGCAGCTACGACTCATTTATTATTTTATGTGTTACAATTTAATTGTGTTTATAAATTGTTTACTGAAAGATATCATAAGTTCAGCTAAACTGTTTGAGCCAGGATGTCATTTATATAAGAGCCCCTTGGAAAACACCAAATAGAAGAAAAAACAAACACAATCTGGTGTTGCATACTGTCTATCCGTAGAAGAACATTTTTATTTATTTTCTTTTTAATTATATCTTTCGACTAATGTATACATCATTCATAATATGTGTCGAATGGAATATGCATGCATAAGTTTTATGAATTACCCGGCGTATTTAATAATTTTTTTTGTTTTTCTATTTTAACTCGTTTGATGTATGTATGTATACATGTAAGATGCTTCTTTTAATTGCTCTTATCATCCAGCCACACATGAAATACGGTATTAAGATATTACATAATATTACAAAAAACCATAAAACACAAAAGATGTTTTCCTTTTTCGATTGGAGTACATAAGACCCGTATAAATAATAGGTATAATCAACTTATTAGATACGAAAAAATTACGCGCTTATATTAAAGATATATAATAATAGGATACATTCATAATAATTTGTATAGGTAAGTGTGTGTAGGGTGTGTATGGGGCAAAAAAAATCAAAACCAAAAACTAGAAAACATTTTTATACCAGTTGGAAATCAAACATTATAAAAAAAAAATGAATTTACAATATGGAACAGAAAAAACATAATAATATTGGAGCATTTGTTTGCAGAACATAACGGCTGTCTATATGTAAATTATGTAAATTGTGTGTTTATGCTGTGTGTGAGAGATGTGTGTGTGTGTGTGTTTTTTTATGTTGGCCTAATGTAGTGAACACATAGTTTTGAACTCGGTTTGTATTATATATGAACAAAAATTGTACTACGCCTCGTCCGGAAAACGGAAAACACAGAGAAATGTTTGACAGAAACGGAAACAGTAGCCACAATTTTGAGAGTGTGGGAGAAGTGTGTATGTGGGTGTGATTCTGTTTTTATATCTTGCAAAAATATCTGGTTGTTATTTGTCTGTAGTCGTTCATTGTTTGTTGTTTTTCGAAAAATTGTGCGATGCCCAATTGAGTGAGGTCTTCCACGAATTGGCCAAAGCTTCGCTGAATTTCGCCTGGAAATGTTTGCGCGCATTCTCCTCCGTGTAGTCCAGCACCTGGTTATAAGGTGAGGAGTAACATGTTATTTTTGATATTTGTAATTTCTATATTCTTTTTATAATAATATAGTCATTTTGGTCAAGCGCTCATCAAATGTGATCATAAATTAGTTAGCATTTAAAAAAGAAGGAATAAATCAATTTTAGAGAATTTCTCTTTGTAAAAGAGTAAAATAATATAATAGTAATAAAATTAAAAAAACAATAACTTTATTTAAAATGACTAAATTATTCATGATAATCAATTTTTCTTTGTATAAATGAATTTCAGTGTAGGATCTACTACAACTACTACCACGGATGTATTGAGTTAATACAAATACCAACAATCAATCAGATAAGCTATATAATGATGTAGGATATGGCTTACCAAAGTCTCACGTAAATAGTTTAGATCCTTTTCTGAGGACAGTTCCGGCAATCCCGTTGAAATCATCATTGAGAACAGCGATAAAATAAGGCAGCCGTGTTTACGTAAAATTAAAAAGGCCTAAAATTGAGTGTAACAAAAAAAAAATATGATTCGAAATGGGGGTTTCAGTATATTGATGAAGTCTGTTACAACTTACGCGCTCGCACAATAGCTGAAAATAACAAAATTCCTTTGCCTCGCGATCAATGCATCCCTTGTTGATGACATAGACAAAGTCGTGTGTTAGCACAAAAGGAACACGTTCACGCCGCACACCAAACTTCTCCTTAAAATGGCCCAGAATATGGCCAAAATCGATGTGGAAAAGCTGTAAGAACAAACCACGCATAAATGACATAAGTGAAGAGGCAATTTTGGCAAATTTCACTAACCTGTCCATTACGCTTGACCATTATGTTGTCCGAATGACGATCGGCAACGCCGAGGACATATGTTGCAACACAGTAGCCGGCACAGCTGAGCGTAAACTCCTTGATGGCCTTGTTGAGTTTCTCGGGCGCCTTGTTATGCTCCTTGAGCCAACTGTAGAGCGAACCCTTTTTAAACGGCGAAGTCGCCGAAAACATACCCTTCTCCTTTTGTATGTTGGCAATTGTCTCCGCATGTCGAACCACCTCGATCATGCCCAATCTCTGCTCCATGCTGATGCAATTGTAGATGTTCATGCGTAAATCCATTCTAGGGGTTAAACAAAAATATTTTAAGTTAAGTCCGATTGAAATTCCGAATCGGAATCAGAATCTAAATTAAAATAATTAATATTGTTTACCACGAAAATACCACATCGGAATCAAAACATTGTAGGAGATATAGTCGATTCTGTTAGTTAGGTATTTGGAAGTGTTTTCAAAATGCTATTTTAGAACTTATATTCACAATTTTTACATACAAACGGACAGACAGACTGATAAGGCTAGACCGACTTGGTTAGTGATGCGGATCTCAATATATATATTTTATGGGGTTAAAGATGTTTTCTCCTGCCTGATTTTGATACCTATTTATACCGTATCGAATGGGTTCATATTCACTATTTCAATTCAAATAAAATACCGACCGAGCTATATAATATATATGTTAAGTTACTCACTTGGTTTTTTCAAACTTTTTATAGTATCTTTACGTATCGGCACCGTAAATTACCATAAAAACCAGGTATCAACAAGTAATATCGTAAAAAGGAGGTTGAAAATATATTGCAATTTCTAACGGAATTTTTATAATTTTTAAACCAGAATCGGAATTGGAACCTAAATTAGTTTTGTTTTGAAATCCTGTTTGAATCATATGGATTGATATGAGTACATTTTGAGGTGTATATTATACATATAACAACTAATAGTGATAATAAAATTAAAAAGACGCACCCTTCGCGTTTCCACAACTGATCCATAACGCGCAGCATTTGCAGGGTGAGCATATCCTGGCGCAGATCATCACCATTTTTGAATATGATATACACATCGCTCGCGGTCTGATCGATGTTCTCGAAAACAACCCATAACGGTCGCATCTTGCTGTCCATCACCTTGCACTTGTCGGGCGTGACGCGGCTGCATCTGAAGCTGGGATTCAACGGATTTTGGATGTTCTGGAAGGCGCCGTTGTTGTGCTCGTTGTGCAGAAACTTTTGCAGCTCATTGCGCACCTTCTCCTTGCTGCCCTTCTTCGCTATCACCGAACCCTGCTTCAGTTTCTCCAGCACTTCGAGCTGCTTCCGCAACGGTTTCACATGCTGCTTGCAACCCTTGAGATAAGCCTCCAGCAGCAATCCGAATCGTGTCTGCATGCAAGGCGTATGCATTTCGGAGCGCAAATGCCAAAAGAAATAGTGTCCAATGCGTTGATTGCGCAACGAGCGCTCCAGCAAAAATATAACCAGATCGTTCTCCAAATACGATTCATGCTTGATCGCCTGCATCAGCTGCAGCAGATACAGCAACAGATCCTCGTCCCTGTATGTGGCACATAGTGATATATATTCTATATATATGTATATTTCAAAGTTGAACTCACTTTAGGTAGTGCAGACATTTGATGGCAAATCGACGCACAGCCGGATCCGGATAGGCGTAGTCCAGCAACTCCAACGAGCGTTCGATGGCGATGAGTGGCCACTGCTTGAGGAGATACCAAATGTCGGCAACATCATCGCGCTCATTCCAATAGACGCAGTGCAGCAGCACGGACAGCTCCTCCGGAAATTCGCGTAATATTTCGTTTCTGTAAATATGCAACAATTAGTATTCGATATGGAATAGAATTAATGGTCGTCCACTCACTTGCGTTCCCAGATGATGTTGCGATCCTGATCGACCATCTCGTAGATTTTATCTTTGCCCGAATAGTTGGCCAGCAGAATGCTCAGGTCTCGCAACTGTTTCTCAGGATCTACCATTTGCTGTTGTTTATCGCGATTCGCTCGCGCCCGATCCGCGGCATATTGCAGCACATCATCCTCGCTGGGATAGCAGACTTGCGTGTGCTCAATGTCGCTGCTTCCCTGATGGAATTGCAGATGGACTACGGCGCACTCGTCTTTGCGCGGATTCGACTCAACGGTGCCCAGCGGATAGAAAACATCATCTGATTGTATATCATCTGCATAGGTCCAGGTGTACAGAGTCTGGCGACCATTCCTCAACTGATTCTTATAGTCGAAGAGCGTTGTATTAACCCATGCCAAGGGATTATTGTTGTAGTAGACATCCTTAAAGGTGCTGCTGTTGCTGTTCGAAGACTTCTTCGAGCGCGACATTTTCGTCACCTCAAAGACCACAATGCAGAGTCGTGTCATGCGTGGCAAATTGTGCATTTGTATATCGAATGCCAAATCATTGTCTTCAAATGTAAAATCCAATGAGTTGCCCGAGCTCGAAGCATCCAAACTGCGCTGGGCGCACAACTTGCGATCGCCATGATAGAGTCCCACATGGACGCCCACCTTAAAAGCACGCGCCGGATCAAAGTTCACATTTGTCACGCCGTGCAAGGTGAGCGTAAAATTTTTCGGTTGCAAATCCCAAAGCATTGCAATCGATTTCTCCATCACAATTTGACGTTCCGGCTTTGGGGGACGTTTCAGACTTAGATTCTGCTGCTCGTTGTAATGATTGATGTACGCATCGAGACGCATGACGGGCTGGAGGACAACATTGGGCACCGCCGCATCGGAGAGCATCTCTTGGATGTAAAGAAACTGTATCAGCGGATGATCCCCAAACAGATACTCATCCCGTCCGCTCACCTTGAGTATATAGTCATTGGCGCGATCATTGATCTTGATCTGTGAACGATACATCTTCTGTAGCGTGCTCTCAATCAAACTCAGTGGAGTATCATGCTCCAAGACGGAGAGCGTAAATGCGCTCAGATCGTTTTCGTTCTTTACGGTGATGAGGAATGCCGATGTTGGATGTCGTTGCCGTATCAACTCTGGCATTAGTGTCGAATTACCCAATCGCAGCGGATGCTCGTAAAGTAATCGCTGTTGCCAGGAGTATTTCGTGCGTTCCACCTTGATGCCATCGCATATAACGTTGACCTTGCTGCGAAAATATTCCACCTCCGGTGTACCGTGGCTATTCTGATGATCGAAGGATTTGCCAATGATGTCGCTGATCATTTTCGTTAATTCATAATCGCTGGAAAATGTGGTGGTATCGGTGCGTTCACCCAAATTGAGTAGACCAAAATACGGCTGGACCTCAATCAGTCGCTTCGTTTCATCCGTATACGCTTCGATGGTGTAGTGCGAGATGCCGTTCACCTGATAATCACACGCATCCTTGATCAGATAGCCCAAAGGTTGCACTTTGCCCAGAGCCACCATTTCAGCCTTCACTTCCCGTATGGTTGCCGTCGACTTAACGCGCAGCTGGAGCACAACCCCGTTGGGCATCAGGCAGGTGAGATCCACAATATCGGGTGGATCATATTTCCAGAGATATATCGAGAAGCACATGGCGGCGGTCACATGCGGCGGCTGGCAGGATGCGTATTGTATTTCGCACATCTTTAATTGTTATTTATATATATATATATATATATATATATTAATTATTATTATTATTTATTTATATTTAATTTTTTCTCTCTTCTCTTTGCTGCTCCGGTTTGTCTTTTAATCGTTGCATGCAGTTTCGGTTTTCTTTTTTATCCTTGTTACGAGCAGACTTCGTTTTCGTTCGTGTTGTTGTTGCTGTTGTAGTTGGTACATATTGTTGTGGTTGGTGCTAGTGTTGATTTTATTCCACTTCAAGTCAACGACTCAATTTTTAATCATGGCGAACTGTGTGTAGAAAAACAATCAAAAGGTTGTGCCAGTTTAGTTTACAAAAGCAATAACAAGATTGGCAAAAAAAATAATATAAGATGGCGACATTTTGGGAATAGATTTTTGCATAGAGTATTCCTGACAAACTATAGTGAATGCTCGATTGTTTGGAATTTGTTTTTTTGTTTTTTTTAGATGATTCATTTATCAACTTCAGCGCAACTTTGCAACGCATTTGAACAATAAAAGTTTTAAGAGCTTTATAAAATTAATAAAATCGAAAATATTATACACACACAAAAGTCGTGACACGAAGCGTAATATTTAGCATGCGACCACTGTAATTGTGAAATACTTCAAATTATTTGAAAACCCATAAAAATATAAACATTTTAAGTAGATGTGTTTTTGGCCATTAATAAATTATAAGAATCACTTATTATTAATCGCAAGCACAATATGACAAGATTCGTACATTTCAAAAATATATAATTCGCCAGATGGGTTAAGCTTGTAAAAAAAAAAACATTGACTTTATATTTTGTTAGCGTGAATCATACAGTGCAGTTCAGTGCGGGAGGTGAAGAGGTGAGAGCCGTGGCAATGACAAACGAGCAAAAGCAAAAAAAGAAGAGAAAAAACGTGAGCGCATGTGGAAGTTGGCATACTCTATTTGTGAGCATTTACGCTCGCACTCGTTTTTTTGGCTCAAGAGTGATAAGACAAAATTTGATCAATGGCTCTCTCTCTCTCATTCTTGGCCGCGAGAACCAAAATCAGTCATTGCCGGAGACTGAAGTGAGAAGTTTCGTTTTTCTACGATTTTCACAGAATTCCACAAAATATTTTTTTTTTTACTTATATCAAGTTTTTCGCATTCCATAAAATCAAATATTTCGTGCATTTGAACAAGCAGAATTTTAATGTTGCAAAAGCAACCAAAAATTCGTTGTACTTCTCTCGCTTAGGGTATCGGAGGTACATTAATTTACGCGGTACGGCCTTTGCCACCGATGCCTCATCTCTAAGTGAAAGACGCGCTTGGAATTGCATTGGAAAAAGCGTCGTCTCAAATTTTTACAAATTGCTTTTTATTTTTGCAAATCAAAATATCAAAACTTTTCCATTCGTTTTTATTGTTGTGTTTATTACCGAGTCTGTCTCACACACGCACATACATACATATGTATATTTTTTTGGGTGTGTGCTGTGCAAGCTTGTCTCTACTGTTTTGTTGTTGTTGTTATCCTTCTACGCCTTCACGCTTGATGTTGGACTATTTGCAAAACACTACCTCAGGCACAAGGAACACGTTGAAACCGTTAAAAATAATTATTTAATTTTTGTTGAAAGTTGTACCTGTTTACTTGTTGAAAGAGTTCCAGTGTTGTATAACTGATGTTTAGTACAATGATGCAGCGCTGTATAATCGAAACTATAAATAGCAAAAAAAAAAAACGTAACAAAACTCTGCCTCGTTTTCGCCAGCCCTGGCGCGAAGGTAAACAAACAAAGTGAAAATTTCGCGAGTAAAACGTGAAAATATTTGTAAAAAGGGCGCTACGAATATGCTAAGCATGTGCAACAATAAATAATTAACTTGTATGGTGAATAAAGTGCGTCGTGCGCTTTATATGACTAAAACATGAACCATAATGACGACTCCGATGAGGGTGAGTAAAATCACTAACTATAAAATTTACACACACACACATGCATAAGCAGATGTTTCAGTTCAAACAACAAAATAAAAGTCGCAACAAAATATTTTCTGCGAGAGCTGCTAATCAGTGATGCCAGCTAGTGCCTGTCAAAAGTAGCTGAAAACATAAATAAGCAAGAATTAAAAAAAAAACTGACTCATTTTCGTTCAACTGTGTAATTAATCTACTAGCTATAAATTTATTCAATTCCTGTTGATGACTATTAAAAAATCCTTGTTGCTCAACTTTGCAATTACCACACTAGTTAAAAATGGATGCAATTTCTGTTGATGACTATTCAAAGTAATTGATTTGATTTAATAATCTGCCAAATTGGCAACACTGTGTGTGTTTGTGCTAGTAGTGGTAAAAGTCAATAAAACAGGGCTTGGACAGGGTGGTTCGTCAAATGTGACAGTTGGGCGCGCAAAACAGAATATTTGAATGTAATGTGAATAAACAATTAATTGCAGTTCGAAAGTGTGACTTGGTATCACTTGACATATGCATATTATTTACTGCACGTAAGTCGACAAGTTGAGTGTGTACACGTTACGCGGTACCCTGTACTTAATTTTAAAATGTGTATAGTATATTGCAAAATTCAGCTATATGTCAGTAGGAAATAAGATATAATTTTTAATTATTTAATTATTATTATATGTGCAATAAGTTTTATATTAAAAATATACTTTTTTATTTGAAATTCTTAAAAATTTCTTAAGAAACGTAAAGTTTTTTGGTGTTGCAATGGACATTTTCAGACTACCCCGTTTGATGTGCATTTTGAATGGGTATTAAGCTGGCCGCTGTTCATGGACTACCCTACACGATGCAATGATGTGCAACAGTTGTCCCTTGATTTGTGTGTCTTGCGCAGTGCACAGCGCTGTGTCTACTGCTGTGGCATCAATGAATGAATGAATCAAGTCGAGGCTCGACAATCGCATCGATTTTCCAAGGCAGTCAGTTTTGGACTCAGTTACAATCAAGGCGGCGGCAAGTTTAGACGGCTTTTCCATTGCTGATGAGGGCATAAAATTTGCATAGCTTGCTAGTTTTTTTTTAGTTCTTTTTTTTCTGCGAACTATTTGCATAAGTATGTCTTGGAAATTTGTTGAACGACCAAAGCCTGGCACCGAAACAGCCTTGGAGGCCTGTGACTATTTCGTCGATGAGGTCATCGAGACAACGGGAGGAAGGGGTGCGAAGAACTAAAATTTCTTACCGATTAACCATATGGCTAATAAATTTATCATCAACTTACTTTGAATCTTCCGCAGATGCCCGCGAGGAAGTGCGACAGATAAAGCACAATGAACTGCGTGCCGCAGTCAGCGCTGGAGATGAGCGCACTGTTCGCGTGCTCCTCGAGGCTTTGGGCAGGGAGCGCCAGATTATTGTCAATATGGCACCATCGGGCGCAAATACGCTGCTTTTTATGTAAGTGCTTATTATGGTTAGTCACCCTATAATTCCGAAAGTTAATTAGTTAAAGTTAAACTGACTTTCTAAAAATTGTGGGTTGCATTTTTTAATTTCAGGTTTGATTTTTCTAAAATTTATAAGATATATGTCTAATTTCTAGGTTCTTCTTTTTTATGTGTACGTATAACATTGAAAAATTGTTACATTACTTTTTTTTGTCACTTATATTATTAATAAGTTTTTTTTATACATTTACACTTTATATTTTTTTTATATACACTTACTGACTGATAATGAGTCACACAGTTCAAGCTGTTATCATTCTGTTGATGAGACGTCTCCGAATCTTTAAAGCATTTATATTCTGATGTTAACTATATTCTCTGTAATGAAACTTTGAATTTTTTCTCCTCTCTTTATACCCTCAATCCATTAAAACAGGCAGAAGAAAGTAGCTTTTAAGTATATATATTCGTAATCAGCATCAAAAGCCGAATCGGCTTAACCATTCGTTCTAAACAATTCAATCCCAAAGAATATAAGACCTGGTGATTTCAAATTGGGAACCATGCGAAGATCAAGTTTATTTAATTTTAACGATAACTGTTCCCGTTTCGTTTATGAACTGCAAAAGTTGCTTTAACAATTGATAAGAACACCAATTTTTTTAACCAAAACATTATTATATTTTGCTATATATTGCCTTAAATAAGGCAGATGTCTTCCCAGTCTGTTAACTGTTCTCTTTCTATTGTGGAACATTCTGCACCCATTGTATCTGTATCTTTTAATTAATATTTTACTTTCAATCCCAATCCCAATTCCAGTGCCAGTCAATCGGGTTTTGAGAGCATCACGCAGAGACTGATCGATGCCGGCGCCGATGGACGTTCGCATGCGGTTACCAAATATTCACCGCTCTATGTTGCGGTGCATAATGGACATTATGGGATTGCCAAGTTGATGCTGGAACGCTTCCCGGAGCTGATACAACAGGCGACAGTGGAGCGTTGGTTGCCGTTGCATGCTGCGTGCATAAATGGGCATATCCGGCTTCTGGAACTGATTATTGGCTATGCATATCCCGAGTATCTCTATCAGACATATCGCGACGAGGAGGGTCAATGGGAGTGGCGACTGCCCTACGATGCGAATGCTCAGGATGTGACAGGTCAGACGAGCCTCTACATTGCCAGTTTGTTGGGCAACAAACAGTTACTCGGCGTGCTCCTGAAATGGCAAATCAGATGCCGGCGAACGATGGGCGAGGATGGTGGCGGCGGGGATGCTGGCCCAGTTGGTAGTAGCAGCTGCTCCATAACGGGTGGCCAGAGCACGCCCATAACACCGACAAGGAAACGTATCTCGTTTGGCATACAGGCCATCATGTCCCGGCTGCACATCTCCGGCGAGGGTGATGCGCTTGAGGCAACGCTGCAGGATCAGGAATCGTATCGCTGTCCCATTCATATCAATTTGCTGTGTGGTGCGGCAAGGGAAACAGCTTTGCTGGCTGCCGTTCGTGGTGGGCATTTGGATGTGGCTCAAGCGCTGTTGCAGCATGGCGCCAATCCCAATATTGTGGCGAAGCCGGTCGAGGATCACAACGATCCCAAGTGCAGCGAAGAGATCTATGGCCTGAGCAATGTGCCCATTGCGGAGGCATGCAAGCAGCACTCGTTGGCCATGGTGGATCTGCTGCTTAAGTTTGGGGCGAGAGATGACAACGGCAGCGCCATCTGTGTGGCCATTGCTAGCGAGGATGAGGCACTATTGAGTCGCCTGTTGGCGCGACGCGTCCATCCCGACTCCGATTATAAGATTAATAAGAAGGGTCTGCCCACGCCCGTCGAGGTGAATGTGTTTCTGCCCTCGGCCAGTAATATTTCGTATAGCGCCATGTTTCCCAATGTGCCGACCATCATCGATTGGCACAGTCTCAGCATGAATGTCCAGTTGTCCTTTGTGCGCATCGGCTGGCTGGTCAGTGGTGTTCTACAGCTCAATCCCAAGCTAACAACTCATCCGCGGCTCAGCGAGATCGCTTTAACGGCCATCACACGCATCGATTTCTCGCACAACGTACTCACCAGCATTCCGCCGGAACTGTTTCAACTGGTTAGCCTCAAGTGAGTCCAACTGGAATTTTATTATCCTTGCAGCTTAAACTTAAACTTGATTTTCTTTATTGTAGATATCTCAACATAGCACAGAACAAAATCGCTGAGTTGCCGTCGCCGCTGGGCAAAACCTACAGTTGTCCCGTGCTGGACGAACTCTTCCTGCAGGATAATCAGTTGACATCGTTGCCGGCAGCAATCTTCCAGTTGCCCGCCCTATCCATATTGGATATATCCAATAATAAGCTGCAACAATTGCCCTTCGATATGTGGCGTGCGCCGAAGCTGCGTGAATTGAATGTTGCTTTCAATTTGCTGAGGGAACTGCCAGTGCCACCGATGCAAACCAGCGGATCTCTGCTCAGTCTGGACAAGTTGCAGCTGCTGCAATCCTGCGATGAACCCTCATCCAACAAACCGCATACGCTCTGCCAACAGACTTTGACCCATCGAAATCTGTGGTCCACAGCGTTGGATATAACGGATAATGATATGAAATGGCAGCAGGATCAGGAGCAGGAACAAGCATTGGCGGATGGCAAGAAGCCGCCACATGGTGCCTCCCAGTTGAGCAGCCTGAATATTGCCAACAATCTATTTACCTCGATTCCGGCTGCTTTGCCCTGTCTCGCTGTGAATCTGACACGCCTGAATATGTCGTATAACAGTCTGCGTTCCATGGGACATGTGACCAGTTATCCAGCGACGCTGAAGCAATTGGATTTGAGCCACAATGAGATCTCGTGTTGGCCCAGTTTGCCGCGCATCACCGAATCCGATCCGAATCTATTGTGCTATAGTCACGTCCAGCTGCCGGACGGATCGGATGAACCCATATATAAGACAACAACAAAGGGCAGCAGTTGCTCCTTTCGCGCTTCGGTGCTGAAGAGTGTCTGCCGCCATCGTCGCCATTTGCGTTTGGAGGCGTTGCGTACCCTAATCCTTGCTGATAATCTGTTGACACGCATTCAGTTGTCCACTGATGATGCGACGACGCTGTTCAATGAGAGCGAGGATGCCGATTGGAATGTTGTCGGCGTCAACAAGTCCAAGGTCATCTTTCCTAACCTCTCCATGCTGGACATGACCAATAATTGCCTCAAAGAGATACCAGCCTCGCTGCACGAACTCTCCAGCTTGTCCGTGCTGAATATCAGTGGAAATGTTCAGATCTCCGAATTGCCACCACACTTGGGCCTTCTCTCGCGACTTTGGAATCTGAATACGAGGGGTTGTCTATTGCAGGAGCCGCTGCGCTCCATGATCGAGAGCAAGAAGCACAAAACGATGGATATTGTCGGTTATCTCAAGTCCATCTATGAGGATGCACAGCCCTATGCGCGAATGAAACTAATGGTGGTGGGTTCCTGTGGCATAGGTAAGACCACACTGCTGGATCTGCTGCGTCAGGGCGTGGGCAACAATTCAAGCAGCGCCAGTTCACAGCGATCCCATCGCGCCAATGAGAATCATTGGGCCAAGCGGATGGGACATGCACGGAGCACTTCAAGATCGCACCGGCAAGCGAATATCTCGACGGTTGGCGTCGATATTGGCACCTGGATCTGTGAGAAACGCAAGCGGGCGACGGGCTGCCAGGCGATCGTGTTTCGCACTTGGGATTTCGGCGGACAGAAGGAGTATTATGCCACCCATCAGTATTTTCTGTCGAAGCGCAGTCTGTATCTGGTGCTTTGGAAGATAAGTGATGGTCACAAGGGTTTGGCTGAGCTGCTCCAATGGCTGGGCAATATTCAGGCGCGTGCGCCCAATTCACCGGTGCTGATTGTGGGCACACATTTTGATACTGTCGGTGAGTCCATCTCGGCCCAGCAGGCAGAGCAACTGCAACAATTGATACGCGAGAAATTTATTGCAATTCCTGATGCGGAGAAGATTGGATTACCGCGCGTCATTGACTCCATTGAGATTAGCTGCCGGTGAGTTTCTTAAGTTTACTTTTGTAATATTCCGTAATTAAATATTTCTCTTGATAATCCATATCCCTAAGCACGCTGCACAACATCCATTTGCTGGCCAACATCATCTATGATACGGCAATGCAGTTGCGTTCGCCTGGCTCCAAGGATCCTTTGCTGCTGCAAAAGATCCCGGCCAGCTATATTGCCCTGGAGGACATTGTGAATGTGATTGCTTGCAATTTGCGTGCCGCTGGTCGTGATCCCGTCCTGGATGCGGAACAGTATCGTTGCCTGGTAACGGAACAGATGCGTTTGCATAACTATAAGAGTTTCCGGGATGCTGCCGAGCTGCAGCAGGCGACAACGTGGTGTCACGAGAATGGCATCCTGCTGCACTATGATGATGCCACATTGAGGGATTACTATTTTCTCGATCCGCAGTGGTTGTGCGATATGTTGGCCCATGTGGTCACGGTGCGCGAAATAAATCCGTTTGCCCCAACCGGTATCATGAAGCTGGATGATCTCCAGCTGCTATTCCGCAGTGTGCATGCTCAGGGCAATGGGAATCGCAGGTGGGATCAGTATTAACTCCAATTCACGCATAGATTGTTGTGTACTAATTTGTGTTTTTGATCCTCTGCAGCTACATTGTCAGTTTGTTAAACAAGTTTGAAGTGGCTTTGACGTGGGATTCGCGCACACTCTTGATACCCTCATTGCTGCCTCTGCAGGAGGCAGCTGTTTACAATGATGGTACTACAGTTAAATTGCTGCAACGCGTTCGCGGACGTAATCACAATCTGGGCTGTTCCGTCTCGCAGGAGCTGAATTTGAATAAGCTCATCTACGAGCAGCACTCGCCACGCACCGCCTCGTCTACGTCAGTGGCGGCCAGTCAGGGTTTGCGCCGCATGCTGCTGATGACATATTTTCCCTCGGGTTTCTGGTCGCGCCTGATTACACGTGTCCTCGCCGACGAACAGATTATCGAGGCCATTCGAGCGATTTATGTTGCCGCACAGGATGTGAGTTTGAACCCTGAACTCCTTCAGAGGATGTTATTTTTATATACTGACGTTATTATAAATGTGAAAGTGTTATAATGTTTTGCAAAAGTATGTAGGTTAATGCCGGAATGCACTGTCAGTAGGCCCACGCTTAAAAAGGTGGACATGGTGGACACCACAACTAATCACTCTTCGCCAAATGTTAATGTTTTAATGTTTTCTGAACCAAATTGAAAAATGCAGATGAATTCTTAACATTATTATTATATAACTGCAATTCGAACTAAGCTAGGCAAAACTACAGCACTGATTTAATAATATATTTTTTCTTCTCCAGAAATATCTCGACTTTGATTTGCGTGGCTCACTTGAGCAGGACACCCAGTGGAATCTGTGGCAGACTGGTCTGGCCTTGTACTATGGACCCATATTGATATTTCGCATCTGGGAAGTGCCTTACCAGAGCACGGAGCGTACACAGCCCTTTCGCACGGCCAGCAATCGCTTCAAGCTCAAATTGGACGGCATTTGGAGTGATGTCAATCTGAATTCGTCGAGTATTCTGGAGGTTTACTTTCCATTGTATCATGTGACCATTGCCCAAGAGCTGGACGCTGGGGAACGACAACTGTTGGCGGAGCTGCAGCCGAGCATGTCACAGGTGGCCAAACTATTAGCTTTGGTCGTGGATCATATTGATCTGCTGCTAGAGGATTGGTATCCAGCGCTGGGCACCCGTTTCGTGCACACCTCGGAGGGCAGGTTCCTCATTACGCGACTGGTGTTGTGTCCGCGCTGTCTGCGCAAGCTGCAGCTACAAAACGGAGCCGAACCGCTGGAACGAGAGCCCACCATGAGTGGCAATCGTCCCAGTCGGAGTGGCAAACGTGGTCCGTTCTTTTTGCATGGAGCTGGCGAACCGGGTGATGATGGTGCTTTGAATGTCTTCTCTGCATATCTAAATGCCACTGCTAGCAGGGAGCGAAGATCAGCTGACTCTTTGGGCGCCGGTTCGGATGCGGATTCGGGCGTCGGTCCCGACTCGGCGTTCTCTTCGAGAAACACCTCTGTGGATGGCCATCCAGCGTATGCACCCCATCATCTGCCAGATAACTCAAATGTCTGCTACGCGTGGATGGTCGAGGAGTGCATTTTATCGGTGTACAATCAAAGCAAACTGAGTTGTCCCGTACATCTGGAGCAGTCGATGGCTCAGCTGGCGCCAGATGTCATCTTTGCCGATATACCCGATAAGCACACAATTGCCACGGAGTGCATCATAAAGGGTTCGCTGTTGGGTCGCGGTGCCTTTGGCTTTGTCTTCAAGGCCAGCTGCAAGTTGCGTGGAGCACGCGCTTTTCGTCCGGTCGCCATGAAAATGTTGCAGCCAGTGCCGCCAGGTGCGCGGGCCAAAGAGGTGAGCCTATAGAATATTTATACGTACATATTTACAGCTGCGGTCAAAATAATAGTAGTGAACACATATATTTTGATACAAGTTAAGAAATAACTACTCACAATTTAGTTAAAAACTATGACACTTTTATTTAAACACACGAAATCAATTCTGAAGATAATTATACTTAAATATTATTTTAATATTTATTTTTGTTAAATTATTTATGGTGGTTATATATTATTACGTTTAGTATTTGGAAAATAATAGTATTAAAAGCATTCTTAGATTTGAAACCACACATTTTTCGTATTGTCGATTTGATTTTTTCTTCATATTGAAAATGTTGACGAGGTTTCGATTTTATCAACTATACATCAATTGAGTCATATTATTATGAAATGCTTGGAGAAGCAGCACTACTATTATTTTGATGGTATATGTGTATCAATTTACTAATTTTACATATTTTTGCTAGAGTGCCTTGATGGCCTATAAGGTGGCGCTGGGCAAATGGGATCGCGATCCGTTGCAGCATTCGTGCAAAGCGTACTGCACCGCCAGACAGGAGCTGGCCGTGCTGCTGACACTGAAGCACCCGAATATTGTGCCCCTAGTGGGTATTTGCATTAAACCACTAGCCTTGGTGCTGGAGTTGGCTCCGCTAGGCGGACTCGACGCTCTTTTGCGACAATATCGACGCAGTGGGGCACACATGGGTCCGCATACGTTCCAAATGCTGGTGCTGCAGGCCGCACGTGCTATAGAGTATCTGCATCGCCGTCGGATCATTTATCGCGATTTGAAATCGGAGAATGTGCTCGTTTGGGAGCTGCCGCAACCGCACAGTGAGGATTGTCCGCGCAATCAGGTGCACATCAAGATCGCCGATTATGGCATCAGTCGTCAGACTGCGGCTGGATTGAGCGCCAAAGGATTTGGCGGCACCGAAGGTTTTATGGCACCGGAAATTATACGCTTTAACGGTGAGGAGGAATACACGGAAAAGGTACGTAAATCAATTAAGAACGATGCAGTCGACTGAGAAATACTCTGATAATACCAGCTGACAACAGGTGCCAGAGAACAGGGATTTCCCAGTTTACTAGTGGACGTATCACCCCAATTTAGGCACTTTCACTGACGCGTGCACAGACCAGTAGATGTTACAAGTTACAAGCTTAAAGCTCTGGCTTTTTCATACAAACGGACAGAAGGACAGACAGCATGACGGACAGTGCACAACATAAATATACTCTAGATATCATCGGTATCAGAATATAAAAATGGCAGCTACAAAGTTAATGTGGATGATTTGTTATCAATGTGTTATTTCAGGTAGATTGCTTTTCGTTTGGCATGTTCATCTATGAGAACATTAGCCTGCGTCAGCCCTTTGAGGGTCACGAGTCGATCAAGGAGTGTATACTCGAAGGCAGCCGTCCGGCGCTAACGCAACGTGAAACTCAATTCCCAACCTGTTGTCTGGATCTAATGGTGCTCTGTTGGCACGAGCAGCCACGACGTAGACCATCAGCTAGCCAAATTGTCTCCATACTTAGGTGAGATTGGCATACAATTATCTTACAATTATATACATATATTAAAATATTATTATATATTATTATATAGTGCACCCGAGTGTATTCATCTCTTGGATGTGGTTGCGCTGCCGCATAGCGATAAGATTGTTTGTGGCGCCTTTCAATTGCTTATGGGTGGTTTGGAAGAGGAGCGCGCCGGGCTGGAATTGTGGCTACCTGCGTTTGGTTCGCGCATTGATATTTTGGATGTATCGCCAACGGGCAGTTTGTTGCAGTGCAGCAGCATCAGTTGTGCACCACAGCCACAGATGGGTGCAACACCCAAGACGCCGGAGAATAGCGCCACCGTTCGTGCCCGTTCCGCTCAGCGTATACCCAAGGTGAATATGCTGTGCTGTTGTCTTGTCGGCGAGGCCATCTGGATGGGCGATGTGTCTGGCAATCTGCACGCATATAGCACCGCAAGCTATGCGCATCTGTTCTCCTATATGCTCGATCCTGCCATTAAGTCAGCTGTGATAAGTCTAGTCCATATGGAGGGCATTGCACGCGTTGCTGTCGGTCTGCACAATGGTCGTGTGTTTCTCGTGGATGCCGATCGTGTGCCCAGCAACTGTGCCTTTGCCGAAGGCTCATTTGTGCTCACCGAAATCTGTTCCGGTTTTGTGCTGCACGCCGCCTGCTCTGTATGCCTTGAGGGGTGAGTTATCAATCCCCGATCAATTTCTCTTTCTATATCTCTCCTATAATCGCTTGATTTCGCACAATACAGCAACTATGAACTTTGGTGCGGTGAATTGGCTGGTAAAATTAATGTTTTTCCGCTGAACGAGTCGGGTGTGTGTGGACACCAGGCCTTGTGCCACAGCGAGGAGCCTAATCTGATTGAGGATGTGAAAGTGGTGCGCTTGTGCAGCAATGATAGCCATGTCTTTAGCTGTCTCTATCCCGGCTGTATGGTCTACCAATGGGGCGCAACATCAAAGCGCATTGAAAACAAACTGGATTGCTCCAAATTGCTGCCCTGCTCTGAGTCGCTGCAGAGCATTGCCATTGATGAGCATGTTAATCTGATCAAGTGTCAAATCTCTGCCTTGGCGGCACACAACACGGAACTATACATTGGCACCACCTGGGGTTGTCTCATTGTCGCCGAGCTGCAAACGCTGCGTCCCGTTAGCGTTTTTCGACCATATGAGAATGAGGTAGGCACATTTGATATGATTTGTGTGGTATATTAAGTGCACTATGCACTAACATTTTCTATGTATGACAAAATTCAATACAAACGAACAAAAACTGAGTCACTTTGTTCACCTTCACATTTAAGTTTAAATTTGAACCTACCTAAATTTGGTGGGTGGATTATATCCCTCCCTGCAGATAAATCCCGAAGAGATTGGAAATATATCGAATTAAAATAAAGTAGCTAAGTTTTCAAATTGCACTGACTAAAAAAATAAATAACAATTCTTAATCAAATCCAGATTAGTTAATGATATTCTCCAACTCACAGCCAATCTTTTATTGCCAGCAGCTGTGTACGATTTTTATTTAATCGGCTTTTATTCATATGCTTGCCGAAGTGGATATCATTAAGATGACTGCAGATTGAGTTAAATACGTGATGATTACTTAAAAAGAAAAAGAATCAAATCTTTCCATTATATTCTTTAAAATATTTATTTTTCCTTTAATGCGAATCATTTTTATCTTTGTTTGTTCTTTTCACTTTCCACTTTCAGATCAAGGCTATCATAACCATGCCCAATGCCAGTGTACCACTAATTGCCACATTGGGGCGTCGATATCGTTCACTGATCACACGGTATGTGGACATGGGTGAAAGCACATCACATACGTCCAACTCTGTGGCAAGTACACCGACGCACGGGGCAGCCAAATCTGTGCCACCAGTTGATGTGGATAATCACATACATTGCCTGCTGTGGCGAGCCAAGCACTGGACCTAAGACCGATCTCAAACTAAATACAACTACCTAATACTGTTAAAATATTTATTAATCCACTAAATGCTAAAACACAACAACAAGTAGCCACTTTTTTGAATATTAGTTTGTTGAACGAATCACGCTGGGATGATTTTGGTGGCACATTCACTGCACATAAAAACTATTAATACTTAAGCTAATCGCAATTGTTGAGGTCACTAATAATATTTCAAGAGATTTATTTTAAATATTTTCGAATAATGTTTTAAGAGCTGTTTACTGGCGAGCATTCCATTTCAATTAATCATCGTAAACTTTTAATAAAGTTGAGAATTTTAACATTTAATTGTATTGTGCAAGTGGCTCCTGCTGTCTGATGGAACCCACCGACATGGATGACTGGCGACTGCGCGAATAAATCGATTCGGAGCTCTTCAGCACACGTACATAGTTATTGAACTCAATGAGAAACTTCAACTCCTCTTTTAAAGCCTCCAGCAATGGCACCTGAAAGTCAGCTCAGCTGAGTAGAGTGCTCCAGGGATTCAGATTGTACATACATACCTTATAATGATGGGCTTTTTTGATGATGAACAATGCCCAGCTGATGGCGCCATAGAGCAAAGCACAGCAAGAACCGACAAGCAGCACAAAGAAGACACCCTCCAAATTGTCCATGGCCAGAGGCGTTGCATCGGGTGCTTCTTCCTTGGTTGCACAAATGCCAGTGCCCACCTCATTCCACCATTTGTTCTTCATTTTCTCCAGTACACCCTGCTCCTGCAGCTCCAACAGTGCATTATTAAATTTGTCACGATGTGGCCAATCTGTCAAGAGCAATAAATATATTTTAATGAATTTCTCTATATTAAATGGCTTAAGGGATTCTCTTTGAATAGATTTCGAGTCGAAGCGAATTCATTCCAACAGGAGGAGCAGCTTTCGATTGACGGTTTGACGTTTGAAAATATAATGGTTCTTCTCAGAGAAGATTCAAACTCAGTCTAAACTAACCCAAATATTCCCATAGCTCTGCCCTTACTTTTTCTCATAGCTATTCCATAGCCCTTCTCATCGAGAGCATCGCCAATTTTCTTGAGATTGCACTCGCGTTTCGTGTTGAACTCAATGGAGGTGGACTCCATGAGGAAGGCATAATGAGTGCTTATCTTAACACGCTCCACGCCCTCCTCATTGGTCTCCGTCAAATACTCTGGATGCTCGGTCATAAATTTATTCATTTTCACATATCGCTCGTCCTCGGAAGTCTGAAAGATGATTAAATAAAAAAAAAATACACAACTGAAATTGATTAATTTTTAAGGCTTACCAAAAAGAAATTTCTAGTTGAACCGGTTCGCTTGGCTCCATAGACAACGCCGTCTTTATTCTCGGCCAGATCGTCAACGCTGTTGATCAAACTCTGTGGCTTCTCAATGGTCAAAAAGGCAGCCAGATTGGCTGTATAAGAAGAGACGACAATTAAAGTGAAAAACCACCAGAAACCGGCCACAGTTCGTGTAGACAAGGCTCTAATGGAGATTGCAAAAGGGTTAAGTATATATTTAAGGTGAGTAGACCAATGACAACTCACTTGGGTCCAATTTCGGATCCCTGTTGCAGCAGGGCTCCAGTTGTAAACCAAATGGAATTGCCTATCGTGAATTGATTCTCCAGCTCTTCGGGCTCCTCAATGCATGGATACGGATTATCCCATTCGGATGGTGACAGACGACCAAGTATGAAAAAGCTCAATGAGACACCAAAAAAGGATAAACCCAGAAACCACCAAACCTCCTCAGAGAATGGATCCATGAATGTAAACAGTTCTGGAGTGGCTTTCTGTGGCTTCAGATACAGTATGGCAATGCCTAAAGTATACAAACAAAAATATATTTAATATGAAAATATAAAATATCATCTTCAACTATTATATATAATATCATCATCTTAAACTGCTGAAAAAACATGTATGAAGACAACAAGTAAGAACTTACCAAGATTCATAAATGGTATGGTAAAATCCATGGCCTCTTCACGCTCCGATGTTATAGTCAAATCGGTAATTGCCAAGTCGGCGTACTACATAGAAAATGTATGTTATAAATATGTAAATTTGTTATATATTTTACAGCCTACACCATGCGTTATCTGCCTTAACATGCCCGTTGATTCATTGGTGCTCTTATTATATGAGCCGTAATCATTGCCGCCATTTTGAAAGGTAAAGTTAAAGCCCAGCTTATCGGCCAGTTCCTTGATGAGTTCTACGCCATATCCCTCATATTGACTGTTACCCTCGAGCTGTTTATAGCTCTCAACCAAACTGGCATAGGGTTTGTTCTACAAAAAAAAAAACAAAAATATATATATACACTCTTTTAAACTCGGGTGGGAAATCTAAATATAGCTTTTAATAATTAATTAATTAAGTTTCTTACCGGAACCGATAGCAATACTATAAATGTTTTATTGGCCAGAGAATTGTCGATGTTATCAAACTGAGAATTAGTGGGTGCCAAGCGTTCAGGTCTATAGTCCCGCTGCTCATCCCAAGTCCCTACTTTGACAATACCAGACGGTTGGAGTTCGATGACATCCAAGTGGTAGCCCTTCCGCACGTTTCCCTCAAAGTAGATGGGTCCAGTGAGCAGGCGTTCCCGGAGACGCAGCTGAGAGAATAATCGGGTTTCAGTATAATATCTATCTATATTTTGTGGTGAATTCAAGAGACTTACCGTTCTCATATAATTTTTAAAGGACGAACCATCATCTCGCACATTTTCGGTGCGCTGTGAGCAATTTTGTGAGACTGGCTTAAAGGGCAGATTTCGAAGAGTTTCAGCAAAAAGTTGAACCGCATCGTAGGTGAGCGCCATTTCGACAGTTACGGGACAAGAACCTATAAATATATGTTGCAAAATCAAAGATAGTCGTTTTTCAAATTACTCTACTTTTTTTTAAATGCAAATATGTTGCAAATAGAAAGTCTACTTGCCATTTCGAAAATCATCTTGATCATTGTTATAACCCATTTTCTGCATCAGTTCCTTAACAGCCATTTTTTCTGGGGAAAACAGACGCAGACTTGTTATGTTCGCTTCACTGTACTTGTACTCCTCCAGATCGAAGGAGTGAAAATCGAGATTGCCAATTATATAGCTATAATCCTCATTAATAATACCCACTTGTTGAGCCTGAAACCCGTAATACAAAGAATTTATAGATATTGCGTAAGGATCGAATGTTCCTTCAGAGAACTCACCTGATTCAAAAACTCGGGCACAGTTTCAGTAGATCCGACGACTAAAATTCGATTGTCCATGGATTTGCGAACACGTCTTAAGATCGGCTTATAATTACCATTCAGTTGCATATCATATCGTAGTACCGTCACAATGGGTCCATTCGTGCCAAACAGAGTGTTTAGCTCATTTAGAATACTCAGGTATTCCGCTAAGAAGGGAGTACAGATTTAGTATGTGGTATTAAAGCAAACAAAAAAAATTCTTTTCCAACTTACCTGATTCATAGAGAAATATGAAACGCGACCACTCGAATGCTGTTATCAGACTGTACAAAGCCTTGGACAGATCAGCGGGATGGGGATGCAAATTGAAGCCCTCGGCATATTCACTCATATAGGAATAGATGTGTGGTATATCCATTGCATCGCATATGGACATCAAATGCACAGCCGTGTGACGCGATGAAGGACCAAAAACACCAGCGATGCCAGTCTAATATGGGTAAAAACGAAAAAGAGACCTGGTTGAGTAAAGAATATTTACAAAGAATTCAAGTTTGTCTCCCACTTACCTCCAACATTCTGCATAGTTGGCCATAGCTGTGATAGGCATCGCCATAGTTCACATCCGCTTTGAGGGACGACATGGCTAAGCCAAGTTCCACATTGGCCACTTCGATAGCATGATCAAATACTATGTTCATTTGCTCCGTATTCTGATCCGTAAGTAGACCTATAAAGCCCGCCAAAAAAAAAAAACAATAAACAAAATTTTGTTTGTTTATCAACAAAAACTTGAACTTAACGCAATCTACATCTATGTATGATATATGTATTGGTATATCCATAGTAAATTTGGACGCTGCTGGTGAGAATCCAAAACAAACAAATACTTAAAAGCATTTTTATGAGCTTTCGGCGTTGATGGAACGAACAGCATGTTCTTCTCTATTTACGAGGCATTAAAAATAAATCGGGCGTCTACAAAATACTTACCAATCGGTACACTGCCCACATTTTGAAGGCTATCGTAACCGCCATAGTTCTCGTATTGTGCATTGAGCATCACAATTCTTAATAACAATGTTATTGAAAAGTGTAGGGATATATTCCGTTTTGGCATTTTTATTGCATAAACTATATATGTATGTGCATTATAATTACAAAATAAAAATGAAGTCTATTCCAATTTTGTATGCTGTTCACGTTGAGCGAAAAGTGACAACTGTGATCATTTCCAAAATGTGGATTTGGTACATCGCTTTGAGTAAAAGTTTCGACAAAAAAGCTTTGAGCATAAAAAGTTTTTTATTTGAGTGAACAACAAAGAGAAATAATATACAAAATATATATACCAACAAATAAAATTGAACTCAATCATCCTCGGGCACCGTGTCATCATTATCCGAATCCATTTGTAGCGATTCAATGGATTGCGAAGAATTGCGACTGCGAGAATAGACAGATTGGGCACTCTTCAAGGCCCTTTCGTTCTCCGCAAAACTCACAACAATTTTAAACTCCTCGGCGAGTGCATCACAGAATGGCACCTGTAGTTAGATTATGTATATGCTTTTTTTCATATTAATATATTAACAAACTGTGCATACCTCATAAAATTTGGCTTTCTTGAAGACAAAAAGGCACCAGTAGGAAAAGGAAAAGACAAAGGATAATAAGGAGCCAACAATTAGTACAGCATAGATGCCACTTAAATTATCCAGGCGCAGCTCCGAAGGGCCATCATCATCGCCTTTCGCCTATTTGCAAAAAAGAGTGTGTTATTGGATATTGGTTAGATTGGTTTTAAGCGTGCTTAAAAGAGCTGGCAAATCGGAAATGGGATGTTTTTCCTCTGACTAAGTAGGCTTTTTAGTATTGCAAGATTACAATTTAGACTCACGCTGCAAACTCCAGCTCCAATTTCATTCCACCATTTGTTCTTAAGCCTAGCCAGCACGCCCTGTTCCTGCAGCTCAAGCAGCGCATTGTTGAATTTATCGCGATATGGCCAATCTATCGTATGTAATCTCATAAGTATTTATTTCAATTATTTTATATGTGTAACATACTCTTAGGCATTGCAATTCCATAACCTTTCTCATCGAGCGCTTCACCTATTTTCTTCAGATTGCATTCCCTCACCGTATTATACTCGATGGATGTGGATTCCATAAGAAATGCAAATTTTGTGCCCGCTTTGACCATGTCGACGCCATCCTGATTGGTTTCCGTCAGAAAGGCTGGATTATTGCTCAAGTACGCATTCATCTTCATGTATATCTCTTCTTCAGAAGTCTAAAAATAAAATCGGATTATGATTTTAGTCAGTAAAAAAAAATACTAAAATCAAAAATATATTATTGTTATTGACCAAGAGATCAAATGTATCAAAACTGAATGTGAAAAACTTCTAATGGGAAATTTCACATTAATGCTGTTATATACTAAAGGGTTGGGTTCTGGGAGGATAAGCCATGAAGCTTTTTTTTTTCTTTTGTGAATGAAACTTACTAAGAAAAAGTTTCTGGTTGAACCCGTGCGCTTGGCTCCATATTGCACATCGTCCTTGTTTTCGGCCAAATCCTCAACACTATCAATGGAGCTCGATGGGTTCTCAATGGTTAGGAACGCAGCCAAGTTGGCTGTGTATGAAGAGACCATGATCAATGTGAAAAACCACCAAATAGCTGATATTGTGCGGGTGCTCAGGGATCTGTGGAATTTGGAAATTCGAAAAACATTTCTTGTTGTAGAATTTTCTAATAATTTACTTTGGCGCAATTTCAGATCCCTGCTGTAACAGGGCGCCCGTGGCAAACCACCATGAATTGCTAATGGTAAATTGATTCTCTAGCTCTTCCGGTTCCTCAATGCAAGGATAGGGATTATCCCATTCGGAGGGTGACAAACGTCCAATTACAAAGAGGCACAGAGAGACCCCTAAATAAGCAATGCCCAGATAAAGCCAAACCTCCTTTGAAAACGGGTCCATGAAGGAGAAGAGTGCTGGCTCCGCTTTTTGGGGTTTCAGATATAAAATGGCAATACCTTAAGAGATTTACATTATTGAAGATTTCAGCAATTTTCCAGAAATTGTAAAACTCACGAAACTTACCCAAATTCATAAATGGTATGGAAAAATCAATTGCTTCCTCACGTTCCGAAGTTATGGTTATGTCTGTGATGGCCAATTCGGCATGCTGAAAAATATTAAAATGATCAAATTGTAAATATTAATTTATAAATAGTACACATAACTTACTCCCTCTACAATTTCCTTAAGCATGCCTGTTGTCATATTTGTGGTCTTATTGAAAGAACCATAATCATTGCCGCCATTGTGAAAGGTAAAGTTAAAGCCCAGTTTTTCCGCCAACTCCTTGATCAAATCGATGCCATATCCTTCATACTGACTATTGCCAATTAATGTGTTAATGCTCTCCACCAAACTGGCATAGGGTTTGTTCTAAGTTTAACATAATTATAAGTAGATATAATATTTTATTTATTTATTTTTTTTTGTTTCCAACTTACCGGCACTGAGATAAGTACTTTGAACGTTTTGTTAACTAACGAATTTTCTTCATTGTCATTGAAATTGGTTATTTGTGGTGGACGGTTAAACTGAAACTCCTTGCCCTCCTCCCAGGTGCCCACCTTGACCAGGCCGACGGTCTGCAGTTCAATCACATCGAAACTGAATCCCTTTCGTATATTACCCCGAAAAAAGATACGGCCAGTGATCGTTTTCTCTAGTATCTCCAGCTGTAATGATAGAAGTGTGCGAGTCTAGTTATGTGAGAGTGTTCTAGTCGAAAGTGCTCGACAAAGGGATAAGAAATAAATATTTACCGATCTCATATAGTTTCGGAAAGTAGATCCATCTGGTTGGACATTATCATGTCGTTCCGAGCAGTTCAACTGTTGTGGCTGATACGGCAAAAAGTTTGTAGTTTCGGCAATAACACGAACCGCATCGTAAGTCAGAGCCATGGCCAGTGTAATGGGCGAGGAACCTGCAGAGAATAGCAAATTGAGAAATTAAGTTAAGGAAGTCTCCGGAGCTTACCATTATTCGTGGGTTCACTCTCGCCCAGTGCCTGCTGTAGGGTTTCAATTAACTGGCGCACCTCCTTTTTATCGGGATCAAACATTCGCAAGCCTGTTATATTAGCCTCACTGTACTTGTACTCTTCCAGCTCGTAGGTGTGCAGATCCAGATTACCCACCAGATACGTATAATCCTCATTCATGATGCCCACCTGCTGAGCCTGACGGAGGAACTCAGCGACACCTTCCGTCGAACCAACGACCACAATCCGATTATCCTCCGATTTGCGAACGCGTCGCAACACCGATTTGTAATTGCCATTTAGGTTAAGATCGTAACGCATGACCTTAATGACGGGTCCTTTGATGCCATAGAGAGTCATTAGATGATCCAATATTGTGAGGTATTCCGCTGCAATTAATCCAGAGTCATAATCAATTCCTGTTCTTATTCCATATATACATTTAGAAGTTACCAGATTCATAGCAGAATATAAAACGAGACCATTCAAATTGTGTGATAATGTCATAGAGTGCATGAGCAATATCCTCGGGATGCGGATGCAAATTGAAGCCATCAGATTGTGGACTCCATGAAAGGTGTGGGTATATAAAGGGTATATCCTTGGCATCGCAAGCGTTAAGTAAATGCGCTGCTGTATGCTTGGCAGCGGGTCCAAAAACAGCACCTACACCATTCTAAAAAAAAAAAAAAATAAAAATAAATAAATAAAATTGTTTTTTAGTTAAAAACCCTCGTTGATTTAATTTTACATTTCACATGCTCACCTGCATTAGTCTGCATAGTTGTGAAAATGCCTGCATGGAATCGCCAAAGGCCACCTGCTCCGTTTCACCGGCCAAAGGAACGCTGAGATCGCTGTTCACCACAGATATGGCATGCTCAAATGTCTGTCGTATTCCATCCGTGCTATCATCTGTGATAAGGCCTGCGGCATTTGTTTTGAGTCAAAGAGAGCAAATCATTGAATCTCACTCAAACTCTCTCTAACTCTCTCTCTCTCTCTCTCTCTCTCTCTCTCTCTTTCTCTCTCTCTCTCTGTTAGCTTACCGATGCGTATGGCTTCTCCGCTGGCCAATCCAAAGCTATTAGACCCATAACACTGCACATTGTTGGCCCACAATAATACTAAACAAATTATCCACAAATGCATTACAATTTTTTCTATTTATCTTCGATTTTTGTTTTTGGCTTGTTTATTATTCCATTTCAATTGGTTTCGTGTCTATTTTTGTTCGATTTTTTTTGTCTATATTTATTTTTGGATCACCTACACAGACGTGTACTGATTTTTTGTGTTCCGTTCCCGTTGAGCAAACGGCTCTAACTGAAGAAATGAGCTACATTTTTTGTAAAAAAATATGCTCAAAAGTTTTCCAAAATATTCATTTGGTTTTTGAGCTTAAAAGCTGGAAAATTTTCAGATGTTCAACAGTGTTGCACAATCTCAAAATAAGATTGTCCATTACCATATTCCATTTTACTATATGCTTAAGATCTAAGTAAATAATTAGTAAAAAATCATAGGTTTACTATTATTTACTATCAAAATCTGCTCCCATAACAAAACAATCATAGAATGTTCAATTACTTGTGCATTTTTTGTTTTGTTTTGCAATTTGATCGTTTATATTTAATTAGAATTATCACAAACATAAATAGTGTCAACTAAATTATTTCAAGTTAAAATATAAATAGTTAATTACTATAAAATATATAAAAGTATATAGTAAACATTATCATACACTATTTTTTTGGCACAGTTTTGTTTTTATATATGGGAATAAATACAGCTGCGAGTATATTCGGTTAATTCATAATGTTGAATGGCAAGTCTACTTTGGTGAATAGGCCCAGCAATAACAGTGTACTGAAAGAGAAAGAATAGAAAAACTTTTCAACTAAAACTATAACTGACTTTAATGAGGGAAGGTATATTGCTTGTATAAAATAATCAAAAAATTCGATATATTTTGGATTTTACGTTTGTGTATCAATGAATTGTTAAGTCCAGAATGATTGAAAGTTTCTCCCATTTTTTATGCTCAATGTCGTTATGTATTGACTATGTAGATTAATTTCGAGTCATTGAAAAAAGCCTGAGAATATGCAAAAGTGTCGCATAATAATTGTGCAAAGACAATTGAAGAAGTTTTGCAAACTAACAAGCAGGGAAAGAAGGTTGGCCATTGAGAAAGCATGAATCCAACAACAACTGTTGGGCATAAATCACCATTAATTAAGTGAATGTGGCGAATGTGGCAAGTGAATTGCGCCGCTGTTGTTGACACAACAAGCGGCTGAGACATGGGCAGGGGATGAGGGTATGGAGATGACAGGCGACACGTACTCCTTATCAAGTGGCATCTTCGAAAGTGGAGCGATTTTAAGTGGTTGGAATTGTTGTTATCTACTTACAGTTAGCGTTGGATCCAACTGGTATATACTGGTATTTAGGAATACATCATTGTGTCTGTAATACTCTTAGGGGAAAGGGTGGGCAACAACAACAAATGCTACCAAACGCTGCATTTCTTGTGGGGATTCATTGGTGTGCCCGCCGCACAATTGAATTCCCGTGCAAAATCGTAGGAATTGGATAAGGTACCAATCACCCGATAACGTCCCGGGCTGTGTATGGCCGTATTGAGCTTATTTCTTATCGCCTCCGGTCGCATTGCTCCACACCAGACCTGACCAAAATTCAAGAAGAACAGCTGCGGTCCGGTCATATTCAGCCCTGGTAGCATCTCGTCCCTTGCCTCGTGGGGATTCTCATTTGCCCAGCGCATGTAGGCGTGAAAAGCCTGCCGCAAGCCTCCATTATCCGCAATATTCTCGCCTATGGGGAAAGATTAATGATGAGCCATAGAAAATATGATAAGGTAAGAGTGGTTCAGTCGAATGTAACCGACTGGGCGATATGCTTTAATGTTTTTTTAAAGTATATTATTCGATTGTTAGGGTACTAGAATCATCCTCTCCGTTAAAAACAGATTTGAATTGGAACAAAAATGGATAAACCCATAAGATATTCTCGGCCACAATTTGTATTTAAATAGTAATTTCTCATTTGTATGGCATAAGAGTAAATTACATTTTTATTATTAACTACTCAAGCTATTTATTCCATTATAGATATGGAGTCCGTTAAGAACAGCCGATTCAAACGTTTTGCAGGGTATAGATTAATGACCTACCTTGCGTGCTCTCGCCGTTAAGTGAGATGCCCACCTCCTCGACGGTGTAATTGCCATACTGTGAAATGATGCAGCGGGCGCGGTCATCAAATCCACGAATTGAGGCGTCCGTCCACCATTTGTGAATGTTGCCATTGCTGTCGAAAAGGCGACCCTTATCATCAAAGCCATGGGTTAGCTCATGCCCAATGACGACACCGATGCCGCCAAAATTCAGTGACTTGGGGAAATGGCGATGATAGAATGGTGGCTGGAGAATGCCAGCGGGGAACATTATCTGATTCTTATTGCGACTATAATAAGCATTCACAATGGCTGGCGCTGTTTGCCAGTTGGTCTTATTCACACGCTCATGAAGCTTGGCCTGTTCCATCTTGGCCGTGTGCAGCAGGACATTCAGTGTGTTCTCAAAATACGTATCCGGATGTATGTCAATACCAGCATATTTCTCATTTAATTCCTCGGCATTGAGTATGAAGTCCGGATAGCCAATTTTCAAGGACATCGCATTTACCTTCTCCTCGGCTAGCAGTTTTGTGTGTTGATCCAGCCAGTCTGTGGTCTTTAATATATCCCTGAATGCCTGCTGCAACTCATGGGTCATCCTTAAAGTATCCCGCTTGCTATTGTCATCGAAATAGCGACTCACAAACATCGATCCCACAGCCATGCCCATATTGGTGTTCACCTGTGCAATGCATACCTTCCACCTCTGTGGACTCTCCTCCCTTCCAAAGAGGGAATGATAAAAGTTTTGCTTGATATCATCGAATCGATCATCCACGTTGTTAATCCGATGCCTCACAAAGCGCCACATCATGTAGTTGGCCACTGTTCGAGGTTCCGTTGAGGCCAGCAGTGCCACCAGCTGCTTCATGTACTCCACCGCATAGATGACCACCTGTTCCGTATCGTTCACAGTGCGTCCTTGAAGCGTGCTCAGATATGTGGTCCAACCAATTTGTGGCACAGTTGCCTTCAACTGCTGCAGCGACATTCGCTTATAGAGCTGCAGATTAAGAAAAAAGACTAGATAACTTGGTTGGGCTTATGTGAGCATCTCCAAAAGAATCTATCTGCCATCTTTGAAGAAATTTAACTTAATCAATTGATATTACATTTAGTTATAAATTAGAATACACAATTTTATTTATTTTTTTTGATTGTGTTTCCGAATTCTAAAATGTATCTTGCGATGACATCTAAGTGATATAAATAATCTGATCGTTAAACGTACATTGTGAAAAAGATTTAGAGTGAATAAAGAACCGAATAATAACAATTTAAGAAGGCATCACAGTGCTACAGTTATGAATTTAAATTAATAATTTGATATCAAATATGTAATAATTTGTATCAAAATATGTAAGCAATTATGCTTACAGATACAGACCTCAGGTATTTTAACTAGTCATTCTATTTGAAATATTATGCTTAGAAGATATAATAACTACGGTCTATAAGAGTATTTAATATTCGGCTTGCCTAAGATACCCGCATTTAAATTTGTGTACCGTGCTTAGCCCACGTTAATTAAAATAAATTGAAATAAAAAATAGTTAATGTCTGAAAACCGTACTTTTGATGACACGAATTCCCTTTTTGGTATATAATATTTATTTTTTGCTAGCTTGAAGTTGTGCTTTAAAAAAGATGCTATTATAATGTTATCAAAAATTCAAATTTCTTCTTTGACTTTGTTTGCATGAAATCAGAATGCTGTCAGAAGAGTTACCATGCATATGTCCATAATTATAATAATAATATATAATAATTGTAATTATTATAAGTCGCAGTTTGAGTTACTCACCTTTGTCACGTTGAGTCTTTGTTCCGCCGGCGCCGTAATCGCCGCCAGACGCGTCTCGAAGGCAACCAGTTCGGTGGCGACTCGCAATGAATCTGTTTTGCTGGCGCCCAATTTGTTCATTACCTCGGACATGTAGCGCTGATAGGCATGAAGATACTTGGCATTATTCTGCTGCAGGAAGTACTCGCGAGTGGGCAAACCCAACCCAGTTTGATCAAATTGAATGATATTCTCCTCTGAGTTCTTGATATCGGCGCCCACCCACTGAACGATCAGAATGTCGTTGTTATAACGACGCAACGTGGCCGCCAATTGTTGCCAATTGAAGTGGCTGCCCTGCCAATCGTGATCGAGGACTGGCCAGCCACCCAACTGGCGGATGAGTGCATGGAGCGGTTCTAATCCTCGACGGGTTAAGAGCTCACTGTTCACACAGGATTTGTAGAGATTCTTGGCCTTTGCCTGAGCATCGTATTTGGGTTTGAGATACTCCCTGGTGATGCTGGATTGAATGGTATGAATTGCATCCTCCTTGTGCTTGTCGGGCTCCTTCTCTTTATTGAATGTAATTGGCGGGGCTTCCTCCTCTTTGGATTTCTCGCGCGTCTGCTCAATGAGCCGTTTCCTCTTGGTGCCATTTGAAAAGCGTTTATACCTTACCAGGACACGATTAAGGAGATCTCTTCGTTCCACAATATGTCGACGAAGTCGTTCGGCTTTTAGTTCGGTTGCCGGATCCGTTTCCGACTGTTGGTCGTTCAGCTTGAAGGTGTTTTGACGCACACGCGTCTCCGTACTGGGCTGGGCGTGTACCTCATTCTTCTCGAGCAGATTGCGCAGCACCACATCGAGACTTTCGCGCAGCATCTCGAAGGTATCGAACCCAGCCTTATCCTTGGGTATGGGATGCAGTTTCTCCCAATTGCCACAAGCATACTGATAGAAATCCACACACGGATCGACCTGGGGACTCATATAACGTTGCATGGTCTTCGATTGAGCCTGACGGATGTCCTCGCGCGTTCCCTGCTCATTCCAGAAGGAGGGCAGCGAGTTCTCAATAAGTGCCAGCTCATCAATGAGTTGTTCCTGTGCCTCGCGACGTCCACGTCGCGACCAGAATTGATACGTATCTGGATAACGTTTGGGCATATCCTTTTTGTGGCTCGTCTCGAACTCCTCGCCCGTCTCCTGCATATCCAGTTCATTGCCATAACATTCACGCGGCTGGCCATGGGGTAGAAACGATGTCCGCGCATCCTTCATCAATATGCTTCGATCCTCCAGCTCGAGCGTCTCTACGTTTCCATAACGATAGGGGAGGCAGCGTCTCGCCCGCTCCGCCGCCAAGAATTCCAGCTGAGAACGCTTGGCCTGTGGCAATATAAACTCATCGTTGATCAGCTCATTATAGGTGTTACCCTCCGGCAGCAATGTTTCATAGTCATCCAGATAGCCAGGCCGCGAGGCAGAAGCAGATCGTTGGTGTCGCTGTTGCTCCTCGCTGAGCTGGATCGCCTGCAACATGCCATCGAGTCGGAATAGGAGCAGCAGGACCAATGTCAATGGCAGCATAACCACTGGAAGCAGCAAAAGCAATTTGCAGCACGTTAAACCAGGACACCATTGGACGCGACCCGTCTGCTGATTGACACCTAAGCCCAACTTGATACCGCTACGAGGCGTAGCGGAGGGGTGTGAGGGGGCACAGGGTGGCACACCGTGCACCTGCACCAGCGACAGCTTCAACGGACTATGACGACTCATAGTAAATATTACAAAACGAATATGATTACGACGATGAATATGAATATGTATATGTGAGTGCCAAAAATATATGTCCACAATGGCCTTTATACTTTAATTAAACGCAATTTTTAGCGCGACGCAATTGCGAAATGAGTACCGAGAAAACTGAGAATCGGAGAAACGGAGATACCGAGCAGCGAGGCGAGATCTCGAGCGAGCGCATCTGTCGCGCTCGGATTGCCTACTAAAAGTGCTCCCAGAGCTCAGAGCTCAATCCAGTGCGCCGGTCAAAGCTGGACGCGAATCACGGCGCGCGACAAACAATTGAATGAAGACGACAGACAGACAGACAGACAGACAGACAGACAGACGGCGACAAAGCGGCGCTTCAATAAAAAAAAATATATTAAAAAAATCCCCTTAAAAAGCAGAGAGCGAGCAGAGAGCAGACAGAGAAGCAGGAGGAGGAGGAGCTGGAGCAGCCATAGGAGTGGTAAACTAGTAGATTGGTTTCTATGTTGGCGCAGTGTTTGTGATCTTTGTTTACTGTCCAAGCGCTGCGTACGTGAACTACACTCAACAAAAAAAAAGTGTATATACATACATAAATATTATATATAAATTGGAATTCGACTGTCGTTTTACAATATAACTATTTGAAATTGTCTGATTATAATCAAAAGTACAGCAAAAATGGGTGTTTCTTAATTATCTTCAATATTCCGACTAGATTTACGAAGTTAACGTAAAGTGTACAATTTTGTCATAGCTGATAACAGCTTATAGACCTTTATTTATTATTTTCATATATTTGTTATACTTTTTTTCAAGTGTATCATTCAGTTTGTGCGCCAGTGCGTTAAGTAAAGTCGCGTAAATATTGATATCATTGGGTGTTTGACCTTAGACAAGGGCTTGAACCTCTACCTGCACCTCCGCCTGAGCTAGTCGCGTTTTCATAGGTTCGACATTTGACCTGTTAACCTCATTTGAAGCTGCACACAAAGCAGCTACTTCCGGTTACATTAATGCGCGCTAATATCTGCTAACCAACAAACAACTTTTTGCTATAACAATACAATATCAACATCAGCAGCAGCATCAGCATCGCAATAACAAACAGATCGTTCACAAATTAGTGTCATTATCACTGGCAGACACACACACAAGCAATGTAAATACACATATATATATACATAAATATATATATGAAGCTTGGGGCACCTCCGCTTTTGACCTCCGTGTGGGTTCAGCTTTGAATTGAGTCTAAATTCAATCAATTTAATTTAATTTCACAAAACAATTGCACAGAGCACAGAAAACAGAACACAACCGAAGAACAGATGGCAACCAAAAAGCAGGTTAAACTTTCGTGTGCATAGACATATGCTACCTTCTACTGTAGGTGGGGCATATTGACAATTCGATTTGTTTGGTAATCACAAGTAACTAGTTACTTTCAAGCGATCCGAAATGGATGCCATAAAAAGGGGGGTTTGCTTAGTTTGCTTGCTAAAATGTTAAAACTAGAATATATTATTTTAAGTTTATTCTGTGTTTATTTAAAATTTGTTTAACTTACTTAAACAAACTTAAACTCTAACGACGCTCCTGTTACACATCAGCAGGTTTCTGTAGGTAAGCATTTAAATAAAATTAGGTAACTTGATGCTGACTTGTATAAGTATAGTTCAGACTTACATAAATCCCCTCTAAGGTTTGACTACAAAGCATTTCCCCCAAGCAGAGTTGCTCAAGGCACACGGTGCGTATACGTAATTTTCATAAGTGTTATGAAAATGTCAAATGTATTTACTGTTTATATGCATAATCACTGGCCTACACACACACAAACGTGTACACATACACACACACACACACACACAGAGGCAACGACACGCACTTACACACGCAAACAACTAGTTAAGTGAATTTAAGCTACTTGCGACGGCATCAAATACAAAACAAAAAACAAAAAACTTGCAAGTAAATTGCCTTTCGACATCGTTTCGGGTTTAGGTTAGTATTACAAGATTATGCGGATAATTGCTGGCATGCGATGCCATCCAATATGACGCCACGCAGCTCATTTGCAAACACAATCCTCGACCACATACACGAATGCACTGAGCACCCAAAAGTACTTATTTCATGAAGAGACGTGTTTCTTAGTCAGAAAGTAGCCGCTAAACGTTTTTAAATATAAGATCTAAAACCTTCCCTATATCAACTCAAATTAACAACGATATTAAAATTGGTATGTATTTTCGAAAGTTTCATCGATTTAATTTTCTCAGTGCATCGAACAGCCTGTTGAAAATTTGTTGGGGACGCGGCTTCTTCGCATGAATTTTAGTTTCATGAACAGTAAACACGCAAATTTGCATATGTGTATGTGTGTGTGTGAGAGTAGTGGGATGCATGTGAGTGTGTGGTGTGTGATTGTAGTTTGTTGTGTGTTGCATCTGTAGTGGTTTTCAATTTGAATTGCCATTTGCCTCATATGCTAATTTTAGCCTTAAACCTTTTAATTAGCGACTGTGACCGAGATTGGAAAGAACATGTCAATTTATCAGCAGATATATATACACACACACACCCACACACACACATAGACACACAAATCTTACTGCAATTGCAGCCTCCGGCACGAGTGGCTTATAATTTTATTCTCATTTGATCTCTAGTTCAAGAGCATTATAATCATAATCATGAATCAATATTTATACTCTCTGAATTCAGAATTTAGCGTTATCAGGTAGATGAACCAATATAATGAATCACTTCATGAATGTAGTTCGAATGAATTAATGCCAGTTCTAAATGAACTTTTGATTTGCGCAGTCATTCAATAATTGCCTAAGCTATCAGCTAGCAAATAAAAAAACCCCCAATCAGATCAACAGACAGTGAGACTAATCTGGTGAAAACTACACATCAACTTATATATAATATATATAAATGAACTTATGTGAAACGTGTGTTGTGTAAATTGGGTATAATAAAGGAATATTGAATCTCTCGATTAGTTAGACTATCAATTTTTAAACACATTTTTTCTAGATGCTGTTTTTCTTCTGAATGTTTATAAATATTAGTTGTCTTAGTCAAAAGCACGAACTAACAAATTTCTTAGGAATTCAAAATATATGCCAAGTATTTTTTAGCAGAACTTGTTATTAGCGAAATGAAGTTTAGCAAGTTCGCAGTGCCTTGAATTACAGCTAAAATTCTGTGTAGAAAACACACTTACATGACAACTTTTGAACTTCACGGCACTTGCACAATTTCCAGTTATTCGAAGGCGTACTTGCTTTAATATATTGATTGGGCAAACGTTGTTGTTATATTTGTTGGGAGCGGATGCTGCTTCATCTGCCTGTTATCGCCTTGGAGGTGAAGTCTCGAATGTTTTGCCAACTTGACAACTTGAAGCGAGGAAGCCACCGATTAGTTGTTGCTTGTTGCTGTTGTTGCCTGGATAACGGTGAAGCTACTGCTTCTGCTGCTGTTGCTGTTACTTAATGTGCCCAGCACTTTGTCGTTGCTTATTTTAATTGCCGCAAGATTACCGCTAATTGAAATGTGCAAAGCAGCAGCAACAAGACGCATCTGCTTTGAGCTCGCACACTCACTGTGAATATCAGATGGGAACTCAGCTGTAAGCATACTTATACTAATACTTTATCAGTCAGAGTTTCTCAACTTTAATCAGTTGACTTAATAGGCAAAGCACCCCAAGACTTCAAAGTGCTTCTCAATCGAATGACTGTGTGTGTGTGTGTGTGTGTGTATCTGTGTGTTTGCATATGAGTAAACTTTTATAGTACAAGCGCGGAGCTTTCCTAAATCACAAAGTGATTTATTGCAACCGCTGTATAGTGAATATTTAACATGTAAATGATGCTAGCGTAATGTGGGAGAAAATATCTAATATCAAAGAGCTGACACTTTATTTTATATGAATTGAACACAGTCTATAAAGTAGAAAAAAGGCTTGTAAAGTATTGTGCATTAAATTAAAAATGAAAAATGTACAACTAAATCGGCGGAGTATTCAAATGTAAAATGGTTCAACATTTATTACAAGGATTGGGGTACGCAAGAAAAAACTAAATGAGATCAAAAATGGTTACATTTTAATTGCAAATACTAAATAGCTTAGTAATTAGGGAGAGTTTGTAAGGAGAGGCAGGAAGCAAGACATAAGAATAAAAAGAGAGAAAATTAAGAAGAGATAGGCAAATAAACTATATATAAATTAGATAGGCTATATAAATTATTCCATTAAGATGGCTCAGTGTCAGTATTGAACAAGGGAGACAGATATTGAAAGAAATATAGAAAAGATTTTCGCTCTAACGTATTTTTTCTACCTTGCTTCCAAAATTACCTTTCACACCTGCTTTAAGCTAATATCATTTCAGCTGGTTGAGCTAACGCAGTTAATTCATTTCAGAAAAAATCATATACGAGCTGACAACTTGAGTGTGCGTGCAAATAAATATCAATTGCCAGTCGAGTGGTATTAATAATGGTAAACAGCAGAGAGTGCCCATTAATCAATGGAATTGGCGTTGTCTGCGCTTATGTTCTCGCTTGAATGAATGATTGAACAAATGCAATGTTATGTTTAAGCTTATTTGCTGTCAGACTTTGACAAGAACATTTCAATTTGTGTGTGGTCTGTAAACCACACCTATGGTGCCGATAGAACATTGATCAGTTCGAAAATTTATTATTACTTTTATGTTATTTAATTATTATTTACACCTTCGAGCAGGTGAATGTTGCTATGTCATGTCTAGACACAAAGCAGCCAACTCCAGCCTCTTAACTTTAATTTAAAGTGACTTTTGCATGCCGCTTAATTGTTTAACACATTGAATTGCTTTTGCTTACCTATTATTGTTGTAGGTTTTGTTGTGTGGGCCAGCTTATTTAATAATTGAATATTTTGTTGGGATTGTGAGCACTCATTTAATATACAAAATGCATTTTCTGCTGTGACGCCCTATGCTAATATTTGCTGTGTAAATCACAAATGACAATTTTGAATAATTTTGTACCTATGTGTAATATGACGTAAACTATTTATTTATATTGTTACCTTGTTCTCAAATTCGGTGAAGTCTATTAATACAATATGTGCGCAATTATGTTCTGCTATGGTGGAAGACGGAATCAAATTGTGAAATTTTTTCAGCCTAAGT